AGAGGAAGATGAACTTTTCTAGAATCCTCCCATCTGCCGAGGAAACAGCTGTATATACTAGAGTTCTCTCTCAACCAACTGTTGCTGAGCCACGCATCACACACTGAGTGGTCCTTCTAATACTACACTGCGTTTTGGCAAGTGGCTGAATAACCAAAACGGCAGACGACATGTTGTAATCAATTCTCCTTGTCGTTTTTCCAGGAATTAGACCTCATAACAAGAACACTTACTTGAAATGTTATTACAAATTTTATTGCGGAAGATCCTCCTCAATGTCTCAATATTAGATTCAGGTCATTCTAATAATTACACTACTCATAATTAATCTCTTACAACATGGTATATGAAGAAGAAAAAACCATGCACGATGACCAATCAAAGAGCTTTGAATGCTCCGAACCTGGGTCCCAACGAGGTGATATGGGCCTTGTTTGTTGCCAGGGTTGTGTCAAGGCTATTGCACCAGATTCAACAGTAGTACTGGCCGTATCCCAAGTAATAGTTGTTTTAAGAGTACTCCAACGATTATATATTGATCAGGCGGCTGAGGCTCCACCTTGTGCTATGATCGACGGCTGTTGTAAGGATACGACCACTCAATTACTGTGTTTCATTGCGAAGTCAAATTATAGACCTCCTTCAGACAAAAAAGAATACTTATATATATATATGCGCGCGTGCGTTGTGTTTCTTTATATATCGTCTGATCAGGGCATGAACACCTCTTAGCTCTTGCCCTTCTTGTTCATGCAACTGCCGAAATCAGACTCGTTAATGTACTAGCTTCCACGTATATAAGATTTTCTTTCTTTCACTAGGAATCCATTAATTTTGATAAAAATTTAACAAATTTACCCACTTAACTCGCAAAAACGTGATTTACAGTTATTTTAGAACCTGCCCTTCCTTAAGTTGATGAATAACACACATAAATAATAATAATAATAATAATAATAAACTTGTGAGGACATAAATTTTCATATGTTAAGTAAAAGATAAACCCATTTTTTTTAATCCAATCTAATTCTTGTCGTTGCATGCTCTAATAAACATGTAGACTTTTTTCTTTTTAGACTAATAATTGTCTAGACTTTAGTATTTGCTGAAATGTGGTTTTCTATTATTTTCTTCCAACTAAACAAGGTAGTGTTATAATATAGTCATGAATTTTTTAGACTATTTGTATATATATAGGGAAGGTATCAGAATGAGAAAAGACCACGGTAACAAACACAAAGTACTATCGGAATTATAGAATGTACGGACCACATGTGCCCTGTAAAGATTTACTGGCATCATGTGATGTCAAAAAGTCGCAAGAAATCAAAGGAAGATTCGGTTGGCAATATAGAATTTGAATTACTTGAGGAATTACTCGGGCCTGGATCATGTTGGTTGAACAACCAGCGTCATTCATGCTAATCATAAGCTATTATTTTCTTATCACCGTAAGTCTCTCTCTCTCTCTCTCTCTCTCTCTCTCTCTCTCTCTCTCTCTCTCTCTCCTATTGTTAAATTAAAGTTGCCTTGTTTACCCCACCAATGACTTTTTGATCACTTCACAAGTTGAAAATGAAAATTCATGAGTTGTTCAAAGTTGAGAACTAGTGCATATAAGTTCGATTTTTCATGTATGGAGAATATTATTAGAATGATATTGCATCACGTCCTACTACTTGTTTTTGCCTGCACGCAAAAACAAGCGCCTATATACTTCCAATTAAGTAATCACGAATCATATGATATTAGCTTGAATTATTGTTACATCCTCTATATAATTTGCAACAATGTTTGATTTATTTTGGATAACAGACCACATGCACATCTAGTAGCTAGTGGCATAAATAAAAAATACATTAAGTGGGGGAAAAAAAAAGAAAGAACTTTTATGGTACCGAAAGAAGAATTCCCAGTGTGGTTTATGTTGAAATTACAAACTTCAAACGTTAGAATTATAAACCTATGGATTTTAAAAAAGCAATGAATACTTATAAACTTTAAACGTTAAAGTTATAAAAGTTACGACAGATTTATAGACCGGCACCCTGAGGACCTGGAGAAAAGATATACAAACATCATTAGATTCTTGTAGACCACTAATGTGATAAACTGATAATTGTCCTGTCATCTCTTCTGTGGGAAAGAGCTGGTTTGTTGTTGTGTTGTGGTGAACCCATTCATGACTGCACAGCTGAAGCTGATGGCTAAGCTTGTCTGTGACAAAGCAAACAATTGGTAACAGACAATACTGTCTGTAGAAATTTAATTTTTTGAAAGCGACCCATAAATGCTTCCATTTTATAAGGATAAGGGAGGGACATATGTAGCCCTTCTTCTTGGAAATGTCCCTAAATGCCCGAAACAAGAATACTAATTAGCCTTCATCATTTGAAAACTGTGACATTTTTTCATAATTTACCTAATCTTACGATCGATAATGCAAGAAGCAACTTTTTCTTTTTGAAGAACAATACCTTGGTTAATTATCGTTATTTTTTAAAATAATCACTATTTTAAGAATTGAATAAGTAGTAATACTCTTTGTTCTAGAGGGCTATTATTTATATGATTGGATATACATCTTCACACGTATAAAGAAAAAATAAAATAAAGTAGTCGCACGCCAAAAAAATAAAAGAGCGGAATTACATTCAGATATGTTTAGAATTTTTTATAGCATTGTCATATGTGATGATTGTATCTCAAAGTTGATTGAAAAATATTTTTTTTTTCTTTCCTTCTACGAGAATGTCCAAGATCAACTAATTAAGGTGGTGGAAATATATGGGGAAAATGCCTTGAATTTTTACTCACTTGCCACTAGTTTGCCCCGGTGAGTTATTTTTAGTAGGCCCTAATCACTCAATTCTCACTGTTTATTGCATTTGACATCACCATTTTGACGAGTCATTAAAAGTAATAATTTGATATTAATTTAATGAACACTGTAATAAAAAGGTTGCATTGCGATCTAAACCTATGAAAAGAACGGGTTTATTTTTTTTTTGCAAAATTAACTTCACCGGTTCAAATAATAAAGTACTAAGATGCAAAGCACGACGTCGTTTTTAGAATGGCCCAAAGGTGAAGTGGAACTGTAAGGAAAAAAAAAAAAAAAAAAAAAACCCTGAAATGGAATTATTGTCCTTGAACGTAATTATACTATGGGAAAACTATCCACCATACTATAGGTAAACAGTGAAGTTAGGGTCCACTTAACCGGACCACCACAAAGTACTACCAGGCTCAAACAACATAGAATATATTCGAAAAAGGGCCCTCTTCATCATTGTATAATTGCAACAATAAGGGGCTTTCTAAAATCGCCGGTATCAATTGCCTATCAAGATAAGCAATCATAGTAACAAACTACCACCCTAAAGAAATCTATATTGAATGCCGACCAAACCAATACACTTTTGAAACGACATAATTTTATCAAATTTTATTGAAGTTACATGTTTTTTATTGTGTGATATAACTATGGTTAAAAAATATATCGTACCAAAATGATATATATACACTTTTTGTTGCCTTACCCCAAAATCCTTCAAAACATCAAAACAAATTACAGAATACCCTATTCTTGTACAAAGGGCCAAAATGCGACCGAATTATAAGGATGAAAGGATGGTTTAGACCGAACCGGATCATTTTGTAAAGGGTAATTTTTAAAAATACCTCTTAAAATAAAGTATTATTTTATTTCAACATCTTAATATTAGTTCAAATATTTCTATTTTTTAAATTAAAACTAATTAAGAGATAGAGTTTTTAAAAAGGAGTATTTTTAACAAATTAAGTACTTAAATAAGTAAAATCTGTAATTATCTCTTTTATAGTAATAGTCCAATTCAATATCCTTAAACAAAATGGTTCAATCCGATCTACCCTTTTTTTTTCAACGGGTAAACCTAACAATTTGAGGTCGAACAGATCATTTGTTTACAAAAACTAAAAACAGATTTGAACCTCTTGATGTGACAATTAAAGCTCACATTATTTAAACATCTTGATGTGACTGTTAAAGCTCACATGATTTAAACCCATAGTCTAAACCCACCTTAGTTTGGACTCTTTTACCAAAGAAATCTTTAAGAGCCGATTAATTCATCAAGGCTCTCGTTCGTTTCGTTCATTCGAGTTTAGAATTTAAGTTGAGATGTGATTATATGTGAAAATTTTTTACTGTAACAAAAAAATTAAATGTGATTATTTATAAAAACTTTTTACTGTAACAAAACTCGAATTCTAAATTCGAAACTCGAATTCTAAATTCGAATCAGCGAAACGAATTAACTTACCGGAATTCTGATTTTGCTCTTTCATAAAAAAATTAAATCAAATAAATTTTCATGATTGCATTCTCTCACAAAATTTAAACTTAAAATTAAAATAAAAATAATTTTAACAAATAATTTTTAAAAATACATAAATTAAAATTTTTACTATTTATTCTTAATTTATAATCTTTTAATTAAATAATTATCCTAATAAAAGAATATTTATCAATAATAAAAGATAAAAATTCACATTTATCCATTCTCAAAAATGAATTCTCATTTTTTTTAAATAACTATATAAACTAAACAAGCTACTAATGAGAAGGTTTATGAATTTAAAATCATAATTTATGATTTTAATTTTTAACATTAAATTTTTTGTGAGAAAAAAATAGGTAAAGAACTTAAAACTATAATTCAGAATCACGAATTGAAACAAACATCCCATGAGTGCCATTAAGGGACGCCTAAACCAAATTAGTGCGCCTTGGGAAGATATAAATCCCAAAAGAAATACCCACGATTATTACACTTCAAAGTTCAAACGATTCCATTTCCAGCTAAAAGGAATAAAAAAACAAAAGCATTGAAACCGCATCGATTGACATTCAAAAGGGAAGAGCACCGAATAAATAAAGAGAGAAAAAGATTAAAAAAAATATATATATATATACATATATATATATTATAACAATAAAAATGCATTATCCCCCATTATTGTACTTGCACTAATCATATTTAATATTCCACCAATAACCAGAGCTATTTTCAATCTGGTTGGACCCATTTCCGAAGACAGAAACTATCTTCACCCTCAAAAAAATAATTCACAAAACTTAGTTCCTAAGCAAACAATATTTCAAATAAACAAATATCAACAGAAACATATACACATTTTCCGGGAAAAATGTATCCAAACAACCTTCACCGCCGAGAAAATGACTCCTCGCCGGCAACCACTTTCCATTTTCCAATTAGCTAAAAGGGCAAAAAAAAAAAAAAAAAAAGCGAAGCATTAAAGAGGCATTCTTGCTTTCAAAAAGGTACCACACCTATATTCCATCAGGACAATAACTACCACCAAAATTATAACACCCTACACCTTTTTTTTCCCCTTTTCCGAGCTCGAAAAATTAAAGGAATAATATCTTTTTTTTCTAAATTATTAAAAAAATTGTTAAGCATTCGGACTCCAAAGGCTCCATAAACGGGAATTCAATAACCCCAACACGTCCGGCAATACCTTTCTGGCCAAACCCTTGTGTTCGCTCGCCGCCATTGTCCGGAGCACCACCGCCACATCATCATCCGCCGCCTCGGAAAGCTCTTCCTCCTCATCAATCTCAACAACGTCGTTTTCCTTCTTCTCATTTCCCTCGAACCCGTCCGGACTCTTCTCCTCCACCTGAGTAACCAAAACGACGGCGTTTTCAGCGCACGGCGCCGTTTCTACAGAAGCAGCAGAGGTATCAGTAGTGGTGGTAGAAGAAGTCTCCGGAAGAGGCGAATCGGGCCGGGCCGGGCCATCTGTAGCAAGTAGCGCTACCTTTTGGGCCTCGCGGTTACGGCCCAACTTGTCCCTCCTCTTTCCCCTGCCGTTGATCTTCTTGTTGGAGGATTTCTCGCCGTTAGTCAAGTGGTCTTCAAAGGCCTCTATGACTTGGTGGATGAGCTCACGGTTAGGAGATGAGTCCCACCGCACCCAATAACTGGTGTAACAGTCAAAGCAGTCGCAGTCAAACACCGGAGGCTTATGACCGGTCGAACCGGCGCCTCCATTGCTACTGCCGTTCTGAGCTTTCTTAGACGATTTCTTCTTCGAATCCGAAGAAGATGAAGATGATGATGATGATGATGAAGAAGAAGAAGGGGTTTTGAGAGACCTGGTGATCAAGTAGGCTAGAACCTCGCGGTCTTCTAGAGAGAGAACGGAGGCTACAGCGAGAATGGCCGCCGGCAGAAGCTTCAGCACAGAGAGAACAACTTCTCTGTCTTTTGAAGAAGAAGACGAGGAAGAAGGAGATGGGTGAACTTTACCTTTGTTCTTTATCTTCATGGCTTTGCTGAAAGGAAAACAGAAGAAAAAGTTTAATCCTTTTGATCAATCAATGGAGGTTCTTTGGTGTGGCCTCTGTGATGAGTTTTGGTTTAGAGAGAGAAAGAGTGAGTTATTATTGATTTTTGTTGTTTTGCTTTGTGGCGAAGGCAGAGAAAAGAGTACTACGTCGGGCAGAGAGAGGTCACTTTATTATTATTTTAAATTTTTAACTTTTTTATTTGCTTTTTGAGGTTAATAATTCCACAAGTCTGTTCACGGTCTGACTCAGAGCGTGTCTTTCCCGCTACAGCGTTTTAGAGGAAATAGTTTTTCTTTTTCTTTTTTGAAATTCTTTTTATAGGATATTAATTAAAGAAAGAAAAATGGTAAAATACTTTACAGAAGTTAAATTTGATTAGTTATACTTTACATAAGTAAAATTTGATTAGTTTTTTTAATTTTATTTATATTTTTTTATTTTAATCTGTTTTTTTAATGTAATTTAAAATTTTAAGCTATATAGTATTAATAATTTTAAATTTTTTTTCATAGGATTATTTTTACATTTATGAATTTTCTAGTTTTTCTTTAGAAAGAAAAAAAGAATATTTTTGGTCTTAAAAATTAGATTACATTACGTTTGGGAAAAGTTCAAGTGTTGATGGGCCAATAGCAATGAAGTATTGATAAAGTTACTATTTTATTATTTTTTGGTAATCATTTATCTCCTTTTTTGCCTCAAAAAATAGTAATGAGATTTGGTAAAGTTGTGGATTAAATTGTTTAGGATATTATTATTTACATTATTGGGGGAAAGATTCCTGACCGGCCTAATTTTTTTTGGAAACGTCACAGAAGTTAATTATTAATAAGATTCGCAATGCATGCTTTGTCTTTTTTTTTCTTTTCTTTTTTTAAAAACGAATAACTAAACTAATTCATTTTCTTTTTGGAAATAATGAATTGTTCAATTAGGTTTTTCTTTTTCAACAACCAACAAAATTCCCTCAAGACCGAGTAATCAAAACAAAACTTCTGAACTTGTGTTTTAAAAATGTTCAACCTTTATTAGTAAGAAAACTAATAACGACATCTTTTTTTAAAAAAATAAATAAATAACACCTACTATATTCATCAAAAGCAATGCGACATAAAAAGGTCAAAAGTCAACAGGATTGTTTGACTGGCTGGTGGGAAGGTATAGCGCGCGTGGGCGTGGCTTTGTGGTCAGAGAGTACTAAATTAATAAAAAAAAATTTTAAAAAAAAGCTTTTTTGCTTTATGGGACAGCGCGCAACAGACAATAGTACAGTATTGGGTAATTAATTTAACCTTGTAGGGACAAAATAGTAAGCTAATACAACATCCCGGCCCATAATGGATAAGGACAACCGACCAGAACCATTGTGAACGGTGTCAATATTTTGAGGTGGGTAATTACTCTTTTGCCTCCTTTCTCTTTGATTTGTCTGTTTCAGAGCCTTCCTTAATGGATTGTGGATTCCTCCAATATCTATTCCATATTCATTTTTTATTCTGGTGATTTATTCCTTAAATGCCACCTCATCTTCCTAAGGATGTTCATACACATTTACGGGACTTATTTTTACTCGAGCTCAGTTCTACGTATTTTCAATTTTAATTTATTATAATAAAAAATTATATTTAATTTTTTTTTGTTATTCATTTGTGCTCTGTAATTGTGATCAAACTTAATGGGTGCGTTTAGAATTAGTTTAAAAATATTTTTATTTTCTGTATGAAAATAGAAATGAAAACGTTTTTATTTTCATTTTGAAATTATTTTTGAAATGCGTTCGGTAGTTTTCTTCAGAGATTGATTTCAATTTTAAAAAAAACTGAAACTACGTTTGGTGGTTTAATTTTTGAAAACATGTAATAATATTTAAAATAATAATATATTAAATAAATAATATATAATATTATTAAATATATTAAATAAACATCATTATATAAGACAAAACCCGTTTCAGAAAAGAGAGAAGAAAATGAAAAAAAAAAATGAAATCCGTTTTTAAAAAACAAAACGAGAAAATGAAAACACTTTTTTTTTCGTTTTCAATTTTTCACAAAAGACAAAAACGATTTTGTTTTTGTTTTTAAAAAATTTTTAGGCTAAACACATTTTCTATTTCTGTTTTCATTTTTTAATCTCAAAAAACGTGAAAAATGAAAATAAAATGAAAATAAACAGGGCAATACGATCCATCTGATATGTGTACGGTAGAGATTGAGAGACGGGATTTAACCCAAACAATTATATGTTACTTTTCCTAGTTTCCACGCGCATTACACATACTGTTGCTATTTTACCACTCAGAGTATCAATGCAAAAATTTTCCCGGCAGATTAACTTCTCCTAAACTTATCTGGTTTTATTATTTTAAATTTTGTTGTTGCTAAACTAATCCCAAATAGAAAGGGGACGACTTTAATGGTGTTCAACCATTTTCTAATCTCCCGTTGCCGATTTCGAAACAAAATTAGTGAAGTAGTTACAAAAACGACTTCGATAAAATATCATTTGTGAACAAATTAACTTGAGACGACTGTTAAGGTGGCAACTAGCAGAGCATCTTTCTTTGCTTCTCTTTTTGTTTTATATTGGAAGCCGAAAGCAGTCACCAAATGCTTAGTCATAGTCAGCATCCACATCTTTGAACTTCAATAGCGGACTCTTGTTAAATCATAAAATACAAAAATGTCGGAAACTATCCATTAATTTTAAGATGTAAATGTACTGGGTGACATATTATTTTTTCTTTATTTGTTTTCACACATTGTTTGACCAAGTACTTCAAACTTTTATCTCTGTTTCTTCTTCCCCTAGAAAAATAATTTTAAATGATAATGTTGTCGAAGCCTAGGTTTTAATACTTTATATATGATGCCGTGCAAATCTTGTAATGAGACAATACTAAACCAAAAAAAAAAAGAGAGACAATACCATATATAATTAATCCCTTCTATAGTAATTGAAAAATGATGTTTAGGCAACGGCACAAAATAAGACCATCAATATTAATATTTAATACGTTTGCAGGCCCCGTAAAGTGTTTTAAGACCCGGAAAGTCTTTATTTATTTTCTTCTTGTCTTGTACTTTTTTTTTTAATATTTCAATTATTTTATGTTATGAGGGAAAATATATTTTTAATAGTAAGTGTTTTTAAAAAATCGAGGACCAACCCATTTTGAAGAATAAACTTTTTGTCTTCGTAAATAAAAAAATAAAAAAAATTCTCACTCCGGATCAACTATCAAGTGAATAATGTCTCGTGCACAAAATTTCAACTTATACCAAAAAAAAAAAAAAAAAAAAAAACAGAGAGAGAGGACACTAACATTTGCCAAAGGAAAGCACTTGGATATGATCATGACTATTAACGTATAATTATTGGAAAATCATCGATGATATAAGAAAGAAAAACATTAAACATCTTTTATCTACCACCATACATAAAAGATATCTCAATTCTCTTCCAAAAAAAAAAATAGTAATAATAAAAAGAAAGAAAGATATATATCAACTTGTCTTTAAAAGCTACAGCAGTAGTAGCATATTGTTAGATGCATTTAATTGAACAAAAAGGACGATATCTTTTTTCTCATCTAAATTTAATTTATACAAAAAAAAAAAAAACCCAATATTAAGATAAAATAGAAAGATGGGAATATTCCCCAATCATTAATTAGCTTTCTTATCCGTAGGCTGAGACTTATTCATGGCCGCAGGTCGCTTGTCCTCGGCCATCTTGTCATGAACCTCATCCCTTTCCTTGAAATACCTTTCGAAAGCTCTTGGAAGGAACCGAGGAATCAAAAACACAAACAGATTTATCGAAAAGTAGACCAAATTAGACATCGCCAAGCACCTTCCAAACCAATACCACGCCACCTCCTAAACAAATTAAATACCAAATTACGGGGGAAAAAAAAATAATCAAACGTTAACACAAACGACATAAAATAGCAAAGGGGTTAAAGAATCAAAACGATCAAAAAAATATAATCACTTAAAATCTTAAAGGAGAATTTTACGACGGAATAAAATATATGACTGCACAATTTTTTACAATAGGTTTTGATTCTTTTTATTCTTGTATATAATTTTGACATGACATGATCCGCGCCATATATTTTCTAACCATAAGGTAATATTTTTGCTAATCAATAAATAGAATTGATCTCAAACTCAAAAAAGAAATAATAATAATAATAATAAATAAATAAATAAATAAAATAGAAGTAATTAACTTTCAACAGAAACCACTCAATTAGTTCCTTATTCCAGTCTCTCAGTTAAAAAAATAAACTTAATTTAGAGACTATATAATAACGAAAATATATGACTCTCAACCTCATCTAACCAACAATAGACGAACAAAGCCTTCAAGATTATTATTATTATTATTTCTATTTTGGGAAATGATCTTAAGCCTTAATTAAGAAATTATATCTCGCCTTGAGTTGTGCGTTTGGAGGAAGAGTTTTGTTAACCCAAACATCCTTAGTCCAGTCAATGATGACAAAGATCCTCCTCACAGTGTAAAGCACAGGAACCACAGCCCTAACAGGAGGCGAAAACAACGACAAACCACTGATGATATTCTCAGTCAGAATCTGAAACGAGAGCAGGAATAGGTGAGGAGTCGCCGACCGAACGGCGCGCTCGTCGCCTCTCGCGAAGCCGCCAAGCACGTAAGCCAAGGGCAAGAACAGCCCAATGGTAGTTCCCATGATCACGTAAAACCTCAACAGCTTGCTTCCCTGGAAGATCTCTTTGGAGGCCGAAGCGACGTGGCCGTGGGAGGGGAAGGCGAAGCGGGTGAGGGCGAAAAGGTAAGCGGTGGTGAACGCTGGGAAGACAAGGTCTAGAAGCGGGACAAGGCCGCTCACTGAGAACACCATAATGAAGGCCACTAGCTGGAGCTCTATGATGCGTAGTGACCCCATTACGCCGCCGCGGTCAGCGAGGAGCGGCTGCTCTGGTGGTCGCTTCGATCGGTTTTTGTCGGTGGTGGTGGTGGTGGTGTCCGGCTCCGACCGTGGAGCCACTGCAAGGGTTACTCCTGACATTTTTGGTGTTTTTTGGGGACTAGTGAGGTGTTGATGTTTAGGTAAATTGGCTGTTGGCTGCAATCCTTAGAATATTAGAGCTGTTGAAACAAGAAAAGAAGTTGGTTAAGATGATGATCATGGTCTTCTATGGTACTTTAGAAATTAATTACCCTAAAAGCGAAATGATCAATTTAAACTAGTGAGACTACAAACGTAAATGTAAATAGGGTTTTGTTTTGTTTTCTTTGTTGAGGTGCTGAATCAGTTATTTTACTCTTTTTTTTTTCTTTCTTTTGTGCTCTAAGAATCAGTGATTTTACTTGTTCATGTAAAGGCGCATAGTTGGCCGCTTCTCCGAATAGTTGTGCAAATTAAAAAGAAGAAAATAAATTAGTTAAGTTAATGTGTTTCATGGTTTTCTAGTTTACATATTACTTTAAAAGCAAAGTTATCAAGTACTCAAACTAGCGAGACCACAAATATTGTACAATATGTGCATGTCATAGTTTCCTAAAAAAACATAATTTCACTATAAATGTGATGTCAATAATATATATATATGTATATATATATATAAATGTGATATGGAATTGATTCGAAAGTGAAGGATCAACTTACCACTATTCTAATAACATAGTTTTTTCCCCCCCAACAAACTAGTGGGACTACCCATAAATTGCAAGTAGCTAGAAATTATACTATTCAGCCAAAAAACATTGCAAGCACAAACTGCTATAACTGAAGGATTTAAAGTCAAGACCATACGTTACTAACATGATTTTTTCCTTTCGGTATAAGTATGTAAATCTAATAACATTATCTTTCTCTTTTGTTGAGTATCTGTTGCCCTAATTAAAAGCTTGAAGTGAAAAGTGGGCCCCGCCCCATTAGTTTTTATTTTGTATAATAATAAACGGTGGCTAAAACTCAGAAACAGGCACTTAAATGTCATTTTGACGATTGAGAAAGTGAGAAATGATGTAAGAAGATTACAGAAACAAAAGGCCTAGGATGAGGAAACAATACTTGAGGGATGTTATCAAGAGCAAAAGGGATTTTGTTGGTTATGCATACAAGGGGACATTATAAGTGACTTTCATCTCAATCATTCAAAGTCACAAAAATCATATGATGGAGAGAGAGAGAGAGAGAGAGAGAGAGAGAGAGAGAGAGAGAGAGAGAGTGATGTACGCAAATTATGTGGGTCTTTGAAGTTTGCTGGTCACAGAATATCGAGTGTATACGTGACAACGTGTGATCAGTCAATGTCTTCCACATATATAAAAGTTACGAAAGCTATAATTATATGTGCCTAACCCAAAAAAAAAAAAAAAAGGAAGTTGAATAGAAGATAGAGACGTTTTTGGAGTTCCAAGTATAACAATCTTGATCCATATATGTTGAAGAAAGATAAGGCTGTGATTATGACATTATAAAAACTTCCACTTTGATGGAAATTCAATCGCGGTTGTTCTTGATTCATGGAACACTAAATTGGTGGTTGAAGAAAACCCATCAACCGACTTACATATACATATATATATATATATATATGTATAATATATATAAATTTGCTCATGTCATTATATAAACACAACCACAAACAGATGTGGACAGAAGGAAACTATCAGCGAGATACAAAACAATAATAACATGGATTTTTAGTTACAATATAGTGCTGGTGTAGTAAACGAAAAGGAAAAAAAAAAAGGCATGAAATACAAACATACCCAGTTCTGGACGTATCCAAAAAGAAGTCACGAGCTTTCTCTAGACCCTTTCAATGAAATTACCTGAACCAACTTCGTGAAGATTATTCTGCAAGAATACTGGCTGGCATGCTAATTAATATTTCATACTCCAGAAAAAACGAAGGAAAAAGAAAAAGAAATGAAATGAAAAGAGATTACAATAACAGAATTTGATCAGTAATCATAAACGAGTTACAAATGAATGATTGAAAACCTTAGATCCCGATTGAGCAGACGACGGAGCTAGTCAGTGCATTTGAGATTTGTGTTTGTGTTAAAGAAGAAATAAAAAATGTACTTGACTATCTACTTTGCTCTGATCCTGTTCAACGTGTAACTTGTTTACTTCGACACGTGGAAAATGTTAAAGGTGTAAGTGTTTTGGTTTCACACGTGTCGGTCGTGTTACGAGATCATATTAATATTCATGTTCGTCGGGAAGATAATATGACGTCTGAAAAACTATTTATAATAAAAAAGAAAAAGGCAGGTGAAAAAATCATACACGTGACACGTTTATAAAATGATCATTGTATTGAAGTATACGTGATTTATTAAAATACTTTACGGACGACAAAATTACACTAATAATTATTGTAAAAATTATATAAGATTTATGCTATGAATTCATTAAAGAATAAGAAACGTAAAAAGTATATTACGATATAGATATATATTTATATATACATATATATATTCTAAACCTTTTGTTTTATTTAGATTGTTGTATTACGATAAATGTCTTTTGACTTGTAGTTCATCTGCAATGTGTGCTCCTTGAATTAGTGATGCAAAACATACCAAGTGATTAATTTTTCAACGAAAGAGTTCTTAATTAAGTGCATGAGTGGTTATATTTATTGTTTTTAGCTCGAATTATTTTAAAAGCAAAGTTAATTTAAATTTTGTTTCTCTGCTAAAAACTAATAAAAAGTTTTTGTTCTAAAGGATTTGTGCTAAACTGGATGTAAATGTCCCATCATATCATATTATTAGTTAACGAGATGTGCAATTCACGTATCAATGCCTATTAAAAAAATTGAACACCGTTATCAATTGTAGTATTTCGTAACATATTTTCAAATTCAAGGGATTTGATAGCGAAAAATAGTTCAAGGGCACGATGCAAATAAGCAACAAGTTTAAGGGGGTAACAATGCGAACAACGTTATATTTAAGCATGACTATAACTTTACGATTAGGGAGATTATTCTCTACATCTAACCCAACTAAAAAAAAAAAAAAAAAAAAAAAAAAAAAAAAAAAAAACTCACCTAAAATGTGTTCAAATACGTCAAAATTAATTGAAGAAAAAATTGTTAAATTGCTTATAGAGTGCTATGAGTCTGAATTTTTATTTTTTATTTTTAATTAATACTCTTTTGAGTCTTGACTAACGTTGTTGACTAAAACAATATTAATCAAGAGTAAAAATAAAATCAAGCCTCATAAGACAAGAAGCAGGCCTGGGCCTGTGTGAATGCAAAATAAGCCCAAGTAAGTAGAGGCCTAATCCCCTAAATGGCGGCCCAAATTGGTTAACCACAAGAGCTGACCAGAAGTAAGAGGGAAAAAAGGGATTCTTGAGTAATTGTCAGGTGATTCGATCCATATTCCGTACAATTAGAAACAAGAAGATAATGAAAATAAATTTTCTAGTTTCCAATTATAACAAGAGTAGTTGAAAAATTTTGCGATTGTATATTGAATAAGAATCTGGAAAGTGCCATGAAGACCCTTTGTAACTCAAGCAGAGATATACAATAGCAAGACACATAGTAAAACAAAATTGTTGTAAGTATAGGTTCATTAGAGTGTCAAACATGAAGGCTTTGAAATGGCTCAAGGGTCGAAAAGTGAAGAAATTTGAGCACTTGTCGTTTGATCAGGAAGATCAAGTATTTGGGTTCTTTTCCTTGTTGATCAAATGCATCTAATTTTATTTTATTTTGAACCTCCAATGTTTTTATGTTTTTGTTGTTTCAACTTTTAAATTTTTTTAATTCTTTTATTTTAGTTTTTATTTTTAATATATTTTATTTTATTTTATTTTATTTTATTTTATGTTTCAGCAAAAGGTGACTGCTGTCCTAGAGGTTCACTTGCATAGTTGCATTGTCCACAGTATGTCAAGGATGTCACGAAATTCTGTGAGAAAATCAAAGGTATATTACATTATGAACAGTCTTTTGCTAATGGCAAAAGGAGGATTTATTATATTATGGTACAAAACAATATGCTCTTGGTAGTACATAGCTCTTAAACGCCAAATTTGCATATTATTTTGATTACAACATGGTTCTCATGTGACACCAATACGACCTAAGAGCTTTAAGCAATATTCAATAGAAATGGTATTTGGTTCAATGAGCTGACTAAATATTATGAGATAGATAGAGTTTATATGCCTCAAGCGAGTTAATAGAACAAATTTTCATTTCATTATGAACCGATATTTAACATATATACATTTATTAATTTACATTAATATAATTATCCATAAAATATTTTCATTAATTACATAATAAATTATTATGATTATGAAAGTCTACATTAAAATATATCAAAAGACACATGCCTCAACTGTTCAAGTAGTTAGATGTATCGGTGCATATGTGTCTATCAGGATTTTAAATCTCAGTAGTTTCATTTTTTATTAATAAAATAAGAATCATAAGCCCCAGACTTTATAAAAACATGCAAATAAAATCAGTCAATTCCTAAAGTGAAATATGTTCTCGTACTTAAAAAGAAAAATGTTGTCGTTTTTGTCAGGGGTTGAAAGTGTTGAAATCGATGTGGCAAAGGGAGAGATGACAGTGAAAGGAGCATTTGATGTTAGCAGAAAAGCCGAAAAGGTTGTAAAGGTCGTGAGTAGTGAAATTGAAACAACCGAAATAGTAGAAAATATGTTAATATAAAAAATTTAAAAAAGTATATAAGTTAATTTTTAATTATAAAAATTAATAGGTTATAACTTATTAAGTTATGATTTATAATTAGATAAATTATAAAAAAATTTATTAAGTTATGGTTCATAATCAGACAATTTATAGATAAAAATCGTGATTTATGAATAATAACTTGTCAAGTTATGATTTATAATTAGATAAATTATGAATAAAAATAATAATTTAACATATTTATTAACTTATGTAAATTATTAACTTATTAATTTTAATTCATCTCAAATCTCGACCTATTTCTCTTTTTCTCTCTTAACAAAACAACACAAGCTCACGATGATAATGACGATATCTCTCCTCTGCACAACCCAACCCATGAAATGGCCCAAAAAATGGACATCAAGCCCAAAAAAGTGACGATAAATGATGAAATCGAGATAATAGGATATCATTAGAGAACATAAATACGAAAAATCCTACTATATCACTGCTTAATTGATGCAAGGACACTGATTTCTATTTATCTATATGTCACTTTTTCGAATTAACGGAAGGAATTTGAGTTCATTAAAGGAAAAGTAATAAATAAATAAAGAATTGGAAAGTTGATTAAATGAAGAAGGCATGCGCTACTTAGGCCGTGTTTAAAATTGATCCGTTTTTATTTTTCATATTTGTCGAGAAAAAAAAATAAAAACGTTTCTAAAACGGCGTTTGACGCAATAAAGATAAAAAATAAAAATGAAAACGATTTTTTGATTTAGTATAAAATGAGAAAAATGACTTTTAGTTATTTTTTATTTTTTATTTTCATTTTTTCCTCTCTCAAGCAGAGAGAGAGCAAGAGAGACATTAATGAGTTTTTTTATACTGAAAACAATATATTGATAAAACTACCAAACACATCTTTTAAAAATGATTTATGTTTAAGATTAAAAACGTTTTCATTTTTATTTTTATACAAAAAAACAAAATCATTTTGGAACGAGTTCCAAACACGCCCTTAATTTTTTTTTTTCTTTCCAGAGGTTAATCACGAAATTTTGATATCATAACGTATAATGTGCAGTTCTCACGAGAATAAGTAGGAAAAGAAACATGATCACAATATTTGTTCGTTTTCTTTTCCGAGTATACTAAGGAAATTTCTGAAATTCTGGAAAGAAATTTATCATTTCCTTGAAAAGGCCAATCTCTGTAGAAGCATATTGCCAAAAATTTCTTGATCTAGACAACCAAGATAATTAAAACCTTTGAGATTTCTTAACAAGAAGGGAAATGTAAGTTATAGAGCTTGAATAACATTTTCAAGAGCCTTAATTACTTTTCATTAACTAGTTGAGAATTGAAACACCAAGTTTAAGAAATTTTATTATTAGTCCAACTGGTAACATAAAATCCAGCCCTGGGGAACCATCTAAATTTGGTGAAAGGATAACTCATTTGTCATATATTAACAATTTGTGTTGTGCACTGAAATTTCTTGTCAAAATTAGTTATATTCCAGCAAGGCATACACGATTCGACACACTTATTTATATATTAATCTTTCATAGAAATCTCCAATTTTTACGTTTGAGAAATTATTTTCATGCTCGAAGAGAATCAATGTGTAACGAAATTGTGGTGAAAGTACACATGCATTGTGAAGGATGCAAAGACAAAGTCTCCAAATGCTTGAGAGGTTTTGATGGTAAGTAATCTTTGGTCCCGTTCATTTCATCGATTCGAGTTTTGCTACAGTAAAAAGCTCTAAAAAACAGTCACATCTATTTTTTTTTTGCTACATTAAAAAACTCTCAGATAAAGTCACATCTTAACTCGAATTAAAAACTCGAATCAGCGAACTAAACGGGTCTTTTATTTAGTTGAGCATATAACTTTGTTATGATATATTATCTTTGCCATGAAAATTTCTTGTCTGTGTTTATTTTATTAGGGGTTCAAGATGTCATGATCGATAGCGTGAACCATAAAGTCGTCATAAAAGGCAAAAAGATTGATCCACTGAAGGTTTTGGAGAGACTTAGGAAGAAGTACAGCAGAAATGTTGAACTTATTTCTCCGAAATTTTTCAAGCTTGAGAACAAAGAAAAGAAAGACGAAGGAAAGAAAGAAGACAAGGTATCGGTTACAAAATCCCATGCTTTGAACTTTTTGTTCTCGTGCCATGTGTTTTTTGTTGAACTTAATTATGAGGTTGCTAAAGCAGGCCCAGCTAAAGATTGTGGTGCTCAAAGTGAACATGCATTGCCAAGGTTGTGCGTATGATATCAAGAATGATTTGGAGAGAATGAGAGGTAAATTTTCACACTTTTAATTTTTCATGTGTTAATTATTTAAAAGCTAAATTTATGATTTGGATTTCTTCTTTTCAGTTCACTCTTGGTCTATCTGGTAATGTGTATATATATATATATATGAATCTGCATGCTCCACTACAAGTGGTAGTTTGATTGCTTGTGTTGTCTTTTTCCCAAAATATAACTCTATTTAAATATTTTTCCATGTAGTCCTTTGAAAAAGAAATATGATAATATTTTTCCCAAACAAATTGGTGCTGTCTATAGTTCGGTGTTGCTGTCCAAACTGCATTCAAAATCAGTTCAAAAAATGTGTAATTTCAAACGAGAGATATATTACAATCTCTCTAACACCTCCTTCCAGGTGTTTCGATAACAGTTGGGACAAATGGCACGTGGGTCGTCCGACGCGTGGTGTTTGTTGCATGAGAAAGGCGCTGGCCACCCAGAGATGAAAAACCTTCTGGCCGTTGACTTTGTATTGTCGTTGGTGATCAGCGATAGGAGGCCGTTTATAGAAGGTGAAATATCACTAGTATTGGGTTTCAAAATTGTGTCTTTGCTAACATTAGGCTGTAGCCTGTATGTAAGAGTCGTCCAGATTTTCGAAGCTCTCATAGAGCTTTCCAAGAGTGCCAACCATTCCGTCGACTTTTGACAAGAGGTTAATGATAGTGCCAATTGGTTGGTAACGAGAGAAAGGTTAAGAGAAAATCCACAAAGTTCTTCTCGGCTTCGGCATACAGGACTCTTTGGTTCTTTGTGTCGATGAGGAGTATTAGAGTAAGGCTGAACTCCGACTCCGAGCTTGGCGTTGCCATTCTGTTATAGTGTACTATACGTATATTGATCAAGGACTAACCTAAGTCACCTTTATAATGAAAGTTTGGCTTTAAATGGACTGGAAAGTTTAATGGTAATGTGTATATATATATATATATATATATATATATATATATATTTGTCACGTTCATAGAAAGAGACTTTGGCCTTAAAGTTGAAATTTGATGGTCGTGTTTAGAATTGATCTCGTTTTTGTTTTTCATGTTTTTCGAGAAAGAAAAAATAAAAACGTTTTTAAAACGGCATTTGGCGCGCAATAAAGACAAAAAACAGAAATGAAAACGATTTTTTAATTTAGTATAAAATGAGAGAGAAATTTTATTTTTTGTTTTTGTTTTCTCCTCTCTTGAGCAGAGAGAAAGAGATAGAGACATTAATGGAGTTTTTATACTGAAAACAATTTTTTGATAAAACTATCAAACACATTTTTAAAAATGATTTTTGTACGAGATTGAGAATGTTTTCATTTTCATTTTCATACAAAAAACAAAATCATTTTGGAACGAGTTTCAAACGCCCTCGATGTTTCTTCTTCTTTTATTTTTTTTATTTTTATGCATTGTTAGGAATCATGACGGTTGAACCAAATATGGAGAACTCAAGGGTGACAGTGAGGGGAATAGTTGATGCACCGAAGCTCGTGGAATATATCAAGAAGAGACTAGGAAGACATGCAGAAATTTTGGACCAAGAAACCGAGACATGCAATTGTTGTAAGGACTTAGTAATGTGGGAAAATAAGTGGGAGTGTATTTCCCCATCCTCGGCTCAATGTATTTGCCTTAGTCACATGTTCAGTGATGAAAATCCTTTGTCATGTTCCATAATGTAAAGGAAAGGAACGGCAATGTTGGAGATTTGGAAAAAAAAAAAAGAAAGAAAGGGAAATAAGTGAATCAGAGGAGAATCATGTGAAGAACAAGGAGAGCAACTCACTCTCCCTCTCTCTATGTGGAATTTGGTAAACCAAAACTAGGTATGGTAAATATCCTATTTACAGAATTACTATTTTTTAGCAAACAAAAAGAAAATTACTTTATGGCTTTGAATCTGAAAACTATCAAGGGCAAAATTTGTGTTAGAGATAATATTCTAGATATCCTACACATTCGATCAAGGTTATCACTGTAAAACTATAATTATTAATTAAGGAGCACAATGTCTTTATCATCCTGCCGCTGGTGCTCCGCATCTTCATGGAAAATTCAATTTTTCCGGATCCATATCGGACACAAGCATCTCGAGTCGATAGCCCATAGGAGAAGAAATCTCCAAATTGAAAGGATTAAAAATTTTGTTACAACCCTTCTTCAATTATTCTCTCTATGCATTTGTCTTGATCGATGAAACATTTGTGTTATGTTTTTTTCTTGCTAGCTAATCTGTTTATCATTTTCCATCCTTCAAATTTTCCCGTTCGATATTTCATAGTTCTACTTTAAAATCTCTATTTAATCAATGTATTGTGCGGCGTTCAATGTGTGGTGATATGAGTGAAAACTGAACCCATTTTTTAAATAAAATTTGATTAAATCCTTTTCATTATGTTGGTCGACTCAATAATTTTCAAAGTGACGAAGGAAATGAGAGGCTGGATAACACCAATGATTCTCTTTTCATTTAACTAAATAAAAAACAAAAAGAGTAAAAAATGGAAATATCTTTCCATGAGCCTTTCTTCCATAGCTTAATGGAGTAATATTAAACAATATTGTATTCTATATCACGATTGATGTTATGGCAACTAAAAAAAAAATTGCGTACGCCTTTTACTATTACTCAATACGTACGATAATAAGAAGAGCCAATTGCATTACATGTGAACATTCAGAGAAATTTATAGTTGTCATTTTGTAGATTTATATTGGACCGATGGAGCATATCAATATCATTTGGAATTTTGTCATTTCTACGCATTCTAAGGTTTATGTAGAGGGAATAAATATTGAACAGAGTTATATGCAATAAGGAGGAATAAATGCGAGTGACAAATTCTAGAAGCAATATAAAAAAGAGAGACAAATTGGAATCAATATGTAGAAGATGAATTTTAAACTGTATAAAAAGCTTATTTCGTCCTCCATCTTGGCTTTGGCCTTTGCGAAAATACAATTGACAATGATGCTTTAGGAGCCAATCATTGCATATCATTGACTTCTTTGAACCTTTTCCAAGAACAATAAACTTGAAATTCGCTTGACTGCTGGAAACTTACGAAAGATTTTTTTAATTCATGTGTTTAAATGAGTGATTTTTAATTTTAAAATTTAAATTTAAATCTTTTTATGAGAATAAAATATTATAGTAAAATTAAAATTATAAATTTAAACGTATAAAACAAACCAGTCTTGAGTTGTTCTATTCAAGTTCCTACTCATATATATTGGATTTTCAAAATATATAGCCTAAAATATCACTTTTTGTAAATTAATATCAAATACTTACTCAGATATATATGCATTATATAGTTAGAAACTAAATATTTTTATGAACAATCTTGAAAAGACACTTGCATAAACTAATAAGTAGAGTTTCTTTCCAAGCAGTGGCGGATTTAAGTACAGTTCAGTGGAGGCTACTGCCCTCACTTAAAATTTTTTTTTTTTTAAATATTACCTTTAAAATTTTTAAAATTTTACACTTAAGTCCTCATTGAAATAATATATGCCTCTACTAAAATAAATATATTTTCTTATATGTCCCACTGAGATAATTTATTAAAAAAATTTAGTGTACACCCCCACTAAAATAAAAGACTAACTCCGCTACTGTTCCGAAATTCTTCCCGATTCCAGGATGAACTTTACATACAATGAGGAAATTAAAATTAATTAATTTAGATAGAGCATTGATGACAGTTGTAACCAAACAATAAATGTGAAACTTATTAGCGAGTGCAGTATTTTTGTTTGGATGTTATCTCATGAATTATGTGAAATTTCTTTGAATTGTTTGTATTTTTGATTTATTTTTTTTTTTTCCTGAAATGAAGATTTTTGAAATTTCTCATGAACGATGTTTGATGAAGATCAGATTAGATCTCACTATATAGAATCTTCTTTCTTTTTTTTTTCTTCCTGAATCTTAAGTAATTTTTTTTTGGGAGAAAGAAGAAAATATGTCAAGACTTGAGATAAATTAAAATTAATAGGCCAATAGTTTACATAAGTTAATAAATAAGTCAAATTACTGTTTTCGTCCATAACTTATCTGGTTATGAACTATAATTTGACAAGTTATTGTTTATAATTTATCTGGTTATGAACCATAACTTGACAAGTTTGTCCATAACTTATTTAGTTATGAACTATAACTTAATAAATTTATCCATAACTTATCTAATTATAAACAATAACTTAACAAGTTATGACTTATTAAATTCTATAACTAAAAATTAACCAATATATTTTCTTAAACTGTTCAATGCAATTTGGACTTTGGACATTAGACATGAATCCATAAATGCATATTAACGCGCATCTAGAAAAAGAAATTACTTGACCAATCAAATACTGCCACGTCAATTATTACCGTTACCTCGTTTGGCGAAGGCCTTTATGTAAGCTACAGTCTGTCTGTCCCTCTCCCACATGGATCTAGATAAGAATCCATGTCCGGGTTCCAATAGATCATCTGTCTTAGTTGTCAGAACATGATTGGCTGTCATTTAATGTTAGGAACCTCATTTGTTAAACCAAGAGCCACAAGAGTGCACCTACTTTTTTTTTTTTCAATTTTTTATTTTTTAAGGAACCAATGGTAAAACATTTTTCTCAAAAAAAAAAAAAAAAAAAAAAGAAAATTCGAATCCTGAGGCGGGGGCAGCATATGCCAACTACCACCAACGTCTAGTGACGAATAATATAATAACAAAAAAAGATCTGTCGAAGGCTTGCTAATAAACCCTGTATTTTGTTTTAAATTGTCTTTTATATCTGCATTTTTTAAAATTTTTAAACATACACTTTTTTTTTTGTGTTTTGCAGAAACATCATTTATAATTTTGACAGTTAAAACCCCGTTTATTTCACCGATTTAAATTTAGAATTTAAGATTTACTACAGTAAAAAGTTTTAAGAAATAATCACATTTAACTTTTTTATTACAGTAAAAAATTCTTACATAAAGTCATATCTCAACTCGAATTAAAAACTCCAATCAGCGAATTAATAAGTCTTTAACTTAAAAATTCTAAGAAAAGTACTCAACTTCTAGTAGACACATATGAAAAGTTTGCATAAAAGAAAAGGCAATGCATGTATTTCCCTATTAATTTGGTGTAATCTCCACGTGTCTGCTAACTCTTTATTATGAGGAATATGACTTGAAGAAATATTTTCATATTTTCACAAAATGAAAAAGATCAATTTTGAAATTTTGAAATTACGAGTAAAAATTTACGAATTAAAATAAAAATATAGCTCCATTTAACACTCGAGGAAGTTTGCATGGAAAGACAAAAAAAATACAAACACAAACAATGCAAATATTATCCAAATTCTTTACCTACTCCTTGTCCCCAAAATTTAACTCAAAACTTCTTCTATTTAAAATGAGGAGACTTTTTTTGTAGGCTTATTTAATGATAGTATTAATTTTTAACTGTTAAATTTGATTAAAATCATATCAAATTAAAAATAATTTTATTTTTAAAATAATTTTTAAAACAATCTCATTTTTACTTTTTATTAAAAATAAAATAATTTTAAAACTAATTTTAAACACACCCATCAGTCTTGAATTTCTGAAACAAAATAGGCTAGTTCTAAAATAACATTGAAACAAAATACAGGGACGTTCTCGAAAATTTCCCCCCCTCTCTCTCGCTCGGTCAGAATAGTCGTAGAGACTCGTCAAACGTCGCGATTTCTCCACGTGTCTTAATTCTTCGCATTCTTGCATCTATCCGTTAACCCTACTCTCTCTCCTTCATTCTCTCTCTTCCCCCTCTCTCTCCTCTGCAACTCTTCCATCGAAGAAGAAGAAGAGGAAGAAGAGAAAAAAGAAAAAAAAAAGAAAAAAGAAAAAAGAAAAAGGAAGGAAAAAGGAAGTTTTTTTTGGAGAAAAAAAAAAAAGAAATAATAAAACAAAAAAGTTTGGGCAATGGGAAAGCTTCTTTGCGATTCGACGACCGTTGCGGAGACATTTCAATCCTCTTCGCCGGCGGCGCTTCCATGGAGGGAGTCAAAGTCAGCACCGCCGCTCCACACCGCCGTCGAAGCAGTAGATCTGGTCGGGCAGGCAGTGTCGACAGCGTGGGAAGACGTTCTCGGCCTGGAGGAGCAGCAGAGGCGCCACCTCCAGAGGCTACACGCGAAGGGCGTGCTGTGGAAGCACCCTCAAGACGACGACGGCGCGTCGGTGGTCTTCAGACTCTCGCACGGCGGAGAGGTCTCCTCCGACGGGAACTGCCTGTTCACGGCGTCACAGAAGGCCATGGCGGCGGCGCGTGAGATCGACGCTCGCGAGCTGCGGCGGCGGACGGTCAGGAGGTTCCTGGAGGATTTCGGATCTGCGACCTCGGAGGAGGCGGAGGTGATCAACGACGCGATTCGGCATATGTACGCGCCCGATCTGAGAAGCGGCTGGGGGGTTCACGTCGTTCAGGAGGGGAAGTTGTTGGCTAAGAAAGAAGATCGCCAGGCTCTCGATTCCGCCATTGATTCACGTCGTTCAGGAGGTGAAGTTGTTGGCTAAGAAAGAAGATCGCCAGGCTCTCGATTCCGCCATTGATGAGCTCGTTCAGCTTGGAATGCAGAGGTATTTTCTTAGATCCAACCATTTATATACAAATTTAAAAGCGTAATTTTTTGGTTTCTGAAGCTCCTAAGAGCCAAAAAAAAAAAAAATTCTTTCCTCTCTCTATATATGATTATGATACTTAAACTGGTTTTTGATTATCTGTCTGTAAAGAAAATTAGAATACAAAGAATTAGCTATTTGTTTCTCGATCTTGGAAGAAAAATAACAAAATTCTCATTTGTTGTGGGAATTGGCTTGAAAATTTTCGTTTTTGTTGACTATTACTTTGCTTTCTGATTAAAGAGAAATGGCGGCGGAGTCTATATACAAGGAGAGGTGTTTGCCGGTGAGCGACGGGCCGAGCTGGGCCAAGTACATGTCGATCTCCGGTTCTCCCGACGACGAATACGACATAATCACATTGCAATACACAGAGGATGGTTTGTTATCTGTGGAGGAGAACAGAAAAGGTCACGCCGCTGCGTTCGGAGATGACATTGCCATTGAATGTCTTGCCACTGAATTCAAGCGAGAGATCTATGTGGTAATTTGCTTTCTTCTCTATGTCTGCGTTTTTAACATTTTTTATTGGGATTTTAAATCAAATTTTGGGTTTTGCTTTTGCTTTGATAGAATGCTGTGATTATGACCTTGATGTGTTTTCAATGGAAGTTTAGGGCTGTAATTAGGGAAACCCAATTACAGTCCATAATTTGGTGGATTGCTGCTTAGATTGAAGCTGTCTCTCTTCGTTTTATTTTATTTTATTTTCCTCTTTTTAAAACAATTTGTCTAGGATTTAAATTGTGGGTTTTCTTCAAATTTCATTGAATGTTATGATTGTGACGGTGTGTGTATTTCTTGCTTTTCATATAGAAGGTCAGGACTGTGATTAGGGACACGGCTAATATTCTGATTATGGTGTTTGTGCTGATCTTACTCGGATACTCTTTTTTTTTGGGTTATATTAGTCTGTCATTTAATTTTTGTTTTCCTTAATCCTTCTTTCAAAATTTGATTTTGATTGTGGGTATGTCCTGTCTGTATTTAACTTGTTTTGCATAGCATGTTATGAGTCTTATGACCATAATTTGGGAAAGTTCAACATTGCCGTTACTCCTATTTTCTGATTTCATTAATTTGTTATTTAATTCCTGTTTTCCTTGTGCTGATTTTTTTTTTTTTTTTTGAAGTAATTATATTTCTTTTAAGAGCAACTTTTTTCTTTTATGTACAATTATTTGGACATTTTACATTAACGATCAGCTTGTAATTGAGCTTCCTGTATCTCTTTATCAATAATAGGTGCAAGCACATGGATCAGACGCAATGGTTGACGAAGAAAACTGTGTTTTCTTTCTCCCACACCGTCCAAGGAGTCAGATTTGTGAACCCCCTTTCTTTCTTTTCATGAAAGGAACAGGTAATTGAATCGGTTATTTTGTAACATCACCTTTGTCTTTAATGTCTAATAATCTTAAATTTCTTAATTTCTTAATAGTCTTTAACTAACATTTCCTAACTATTTTCTCCTCAGGTTGGTGTGGTGCTGGAGCCGATCACTACGAACCCCTAATTGCCCATCCTTGCTCCTTCGTTTCCTCGGAGAAAGTTGCCATGGTACTCTGAGGGCAATCATCCTTTTCAAGTTTTGCGGCGTAGAGATTGGATAGAAGTAGAGTTATATTTATTTGTTCGTTTTTAATTTTTCGGCGTGCAGTGCAGTACAGTTCGCCTGATTCGTTTCCTGGTGACAAGGAGAATTTCATTGCATGCATGGCATTCATTTTTTGTTAGCAATAGCTAGAGCTGGTAGTCCCTTTTTTTTCCCATTCCTCTTCCTCCTTCCTAACTCGCAGGTCTTTTGCCTGCATTTGAGCAACCTTATAGCAGTTGTAGCGGTTTCCTACGGCTTTCATTGTCGTCATTGTTGTTGTTGCCGTTGTTCGGTTTTCGAATGGAGGCTTGTATTGCTAGGCACTATTTTGTCCAAGCAGTAATAGTGCCCGTGTTGTATCTTAGATTGGTTTTTTCTATCAGTTCAATGAAAGAGGCTGCTTCTTTTTTCCTTAATTCTTTATTTCCTTTACCTCTATCCTTTTCATATTCCTTTGCCACTACATCACTGTGTCCCAGCACTGATTTATTGTTGGAGCTTATTATAATAACGGATTCAACAAGCATTAAATAGACTAACAAAACTGTTCTGCTGCTTCTGTATTATGACGTTTTGGAGAAGATGAGGTTTCCTTGTAGGTCTTCTGAATGGTAGTTGTACCAGTGGATCATCATTATTGGCAATTTCTTTTCCATGTGCCACCAGACATATCCAGTTTTATCCCCACGTTGGGAGGAGAAGGGATAACCATATAGATGGTCCCCAAACTCTATTTTGGGTCCGTTTAGTTCGCTGATTCGAGTTGAGATGTGACTTTATGTGAGAATTTTTTACTGTAGAAAAAAATTAAAGGTGACTGTTTCTGAGAGTTTTTTTTACTGTAACAAACTCAAATTTTAAACTCAAATCGGTGAAATAAACGAGGCATTCATCTTTTAAGTCTTTCCGGTTTATGACTTCTAAAACATCTCAAATAACCCCGATCTTTCAATTAGTTTTAATTCTAATCTTTTTGTCAGTTATTGTTAAAAAAGAATAAGAATATACATGTGATGTTGGCAGAAATAATACTATGTCAATACATAGGATGTGACATTGATGAAAAATAACACTACGCTAATGTACTAAATTCCGTCCTCTTTTAAACCTCTAAATCTAATTGACTCGGGATAAAAACAAAAATAAATTCAGGGGCCAAAGTGAAATTGAGATAAAGTTTAAGGACCGTTTGTGAAAACGTTTGCTAGAATAATGATAGGAAATGATGGCAGAATTTCTGTGATAGCCAGATCAAATTAGAAATAATCGGAACAACTAGATGGAGATATGTCTGTTTAAAGTAGTGCAGTTTCTTACACCCAACGAATGATTTCTTAAAAAAAAAAAAAAACCCAAAGAATTCTCGCAAAGGATATTGCCTTACCTAAACCTGCGGTTCTTCGGCACTACTAGTATTAATCTGTGAATTGGTTTGATCATCCGCATTTAATTTCAATCATTTGAAAATGTATAAAAAATCTTATAATAAATGTTTTAATAAGTACCATGATCAAGAAATAGGTATCCCATTGAGATCAGTTCTCTTCATTCATGGATAGTAGATAACCTTTTATTTGGAAAGCAACATTTATAGTTACGTATACAAACATTAACACAGAAAGACGAAAGCATTATAATGCCTTTCTGTGAAGGTTCTTTCTAACTCTCACCACCTGGCCAAGCTTTTCGTTTTTTACCTGTAGTAATAGGTGGAGTTTCTTTTGGAGGGGAATCTACCTAACTATATTCCAGTTTTCCAAAAGCAAATGCCAATTCTTTGAACCTTGGCTCTAAATATTCAAAAAGAGGCAACAATAGCAATACACCATATATACATATATATATATATATATATATGTATATAAATGTCACTCTAATCAGGAAGCAAAATTCAGTATATCTTCGTACATTCTTGTAAATTCTAGACAGGGTCAACAATATTGATCTGAATATGGTATTTTGGGGAAGGGAAGGTTGCAACTGGGTGGTCCTAATTAAGATGGAATCTAATTGGGGTTAACATCATATATTATAACTTTAACTTACCAACTCCCCACTCTTTCAACTTCCTTTTTCCCCCTTTCCCTTTTATTTCTTTGGACTCCCTTTTGGAGCTTCTATCATGGGTTTGAAGGAACATCTTTCTTTTTTCTTCTTTTTTTTAATCTGAAAAAATATTATTAGTTGAACTTACTAGAAACATTCAGTTCTTAAAGAAAATACAATTAAAAGTGTCATTGCAGACGTAATTTAGTGGTAATTTTACACCAACACATCTAGAGATCAATTCGTCATGATTTTTTTTTGAAAGATATATAATTTGGAACTGATTACATAATATGTCACCTTCTTAATTAATGTCACAAACTCATGTACTTTTCATTGATTCCAGGTGCTTCTTATTAACTATATTTAACTGCACACGTCCATTAAAAATCTCTCTCCTGTACCTGATCAAATTCGTTGTACATGTATTTTGCTTCATTGAAAACGTGTTCTATCTGCTTCAACTATTGGTAGGAGAAAAAGCTTACTGCAAAAGAAACACATAAGATATCAAAGCATCATTTTTAAAGTTCATTATACAACGTTGTTTATTACTATGATAAAAAAAAAAAAAAAGCAACGATTTGAAATGACCATGGGATATTTGTTAGGGAACCCTACGTTACCAAACCAAAGCACTTTCTAGAGTGACTTTATTTTAACATAATAAAGATGGGCAAAGTTAGTGTTAACAAAGGAAATAAATATCTATGACAACAATCATCATGTGATAATTTAACTTTTCAAAGCAAAAAAAAAAAAAAAAAGAATTAACTTTATAAAGAAAAGCATGCAATTTCATGATGTCCTACACATATTTTGCTTTGAATATAGGTAAATTTAAACTTCTAGGTTTTGCACATAATATGTTCTTTCCAACCAAAATAAGTAATTTATATCTACAAGAGTTCAACTAAGTTTTATTTATTTCCTTCTCTGCCTTTTCTCTCATAAATTGATTGTATTTAATGGTCATTTAGAGGCCTCACTACAAAAAATGTTAGATTTAACATCTCTTAATAGACGACAGTTTATAATGTTCTATTTAACGATGTATATGGATAAAAACTGTCGTTAAATTATATAAGAATTTAACGACATTTAATTAGACGACGGTTCTCTTAACTCTTAACGACGGTTATTAACGGTCGTTAAATCCTAGATTTCTACTAGTGCCTTTTCCTTTTTTTATTGGGTTTTGTATTCTGATATACTTATGTACTTTTTAATTTTTTATTATTATTGTTTCCTGTAAAGAGACTTGTTTGGTATATAAAATGGACGCCAAAAAGCTAGTTTAACTTTGTATTGGTTATGCAAATTTTTGTCTACTAATTGTATCTTTGAGGCGGATAATTTGAAACCATCAACACAAGAATAATGGAAAGCAACTGGAGGCTGAAAACAAAACAAAAGCACCTAAAATGAACACATTCTCAGCCTGCCATATATATTGGCTTTTCATAAAGTAAATTTTCTATACATGACAATAATTATTAAAGTTATTAATGTGTGCCTTCCACCAAATACCTTCTGCTTTTCTCTCCCTATATAAGTCCTTGTTTTCACTGCTTTATGTTCAGTCAGATCATGAATCCTCTCATTGCCTCCTAACAAGTGATCCTCCAAAATTCTCCTCTTTTCTTCCCTCCAAAATTTCTCTAAAAAATTCTCCAAAAAACCCCACTAGAAAATCTTCCTATTATTTGGAAAACATGGACTCAATAATAAAATCAGAAAAATTTAGAGCTATGAAGTGTTACAAGAACAGCCAATTTGTCTACAACCTCATCCTTTCTTCTTTTGTTGCACTAACATGCAGTTTCTTTTGTTCCCATCCTTTCGGTTTTGCTTCACAAACTTCTTCAATAAAATACTCTCTCTTTATCTATCTCCCAAATATTTGGTCCTCCTTCCTTAACCCCAAGTGCTTGTTCATAGTGTTTAATGTCATAGTTGCCTTCCTCGTTGGTGAATCCAAACTCCTCGGCTCTCAGCCATCTCCGGCTAATGATATCTACGACGAGTACGTTGCGAGGAGTCGAAGATTTCAAGGACAGCACAAGTACTTTAGTAATCTTGGAGAGGAGCAAAAAGAAGAAAGGAAGTTGGAGGTATTGGATGTGAGTAAGGAAATTGTGTATGAAGATAAAGAAATAGCACTTGAAGATAAACAAGATAAACATGACCATGAAAAGTTGGAAGAAGAAGAAGAAGAAGAAGAAGAAGAAGATGATGATGAAGAATTTAAAGAAGCTGAAAACAATATTGATAGTGAACATGAGGAAAGAGATTGCGAGGAAGACTCCGAAGGATTGCCGGCAGAGGAACTAAACCGAAGAGTTGAAGATTTTATTGCAAGGATTAACAAACAAAGGTGGTTTGAAGCTAGAATGATGATATGTGGTCAAGCATAATTAGGGCATTGGATAATGAATACCACGTAGAAATGAAAAGAAGATCATCAGTTCTTGTTATTTCATCTTGTTGATCAATAGAATCAGTATTTTATCTGTTTATTTAGTGGTGGAAGTTTGTGTAATTCTGCTACTGTGGATTAGGTAATTTGTACCTTTAGATTTGTTAATTACATATGTATGTAACAATTTTCTGTCATAAATTTTGGTCCATCATGTATTTCTTGAGACACCAAGTAATTTATGACACAAATTGACAAAGATTCAGCTTGCATAAAAATGAAGCTACAAATTAAAGATTTATTTTCGTTTAGAAGCCCCATCAAGAACTTGTGGATAATTCATCAAAAGATAATAAGAATTCCACTCCAGTACAACATCTTAAAAAAAATGATTTTTTTAATTTAAAATTAACAAAAATCTGCCCAACTTTTTCTTCAACTTCTTTGAGTCATGATTACATTCACAAAGTGTTTATAATAGATTAATAGACTTAGTCTCATTTATTTAACTGATTTGAGTTTAGAATTCGAGTTTTACTACAGTAAAAAGCTATCAGAAACAGTCACATCTAACTTTTTTGCTACAGTAAAAAACTCTCACATAAAATCACATTTCAACTCGAATTAAAAATACGAATCAACGAACTAAACGGACCTTTAATTATTATGCTAAATATCTTTCAATATTAGAGTACTATTTTATTTACTTTCTCGAAATTACTGGTGATATTATTATTTTATTTTTTACATTCCGGCGCTTGATTACAAAATTTTTTTCTCTTCTAGGTTGAGTTATGTTGCTATTTCTTCATGTTCTCGTTTTTTTTTTTTACTTCCGGTAATTTCGTTTATTTTCATGGGGTGATATATTAGTGACTAAAAATCCATTTTACTTTGTGCTATGTAAAGTAGATTCTCCTGTTCCCCAAATGCTTAATTAGTTCTCTTTTCTATGTATAGAGAGTGACGAGTCTTTGGGCAAGCCATACCCCACCACCAAGGTGGGCAAGTTTTGACCTCCCAAAGGGATGAAAAATTCTTTCCTTAGCACCGAAGAGAGAGAGAGAGAGAGTGAGGAGAGAAAAAAAAAAAAAAAAAAAAAAAAAAAAGAAGAGAAGTAAAGTACAACAAAAAAAGTTGAGAATCTCTTTTTTATGTTGTTGTTCACTTGGCTCATGCCAAACACAAGCACACATACGTCATTTTCACTCTTCGAGTGTTATAATTTTTAAGCACACATGATAATTTATTTAGGAAAGTATTATCTATGGTATTTATATATTATATGTGTATGCTTCTCAGAAATCGACTCATGTGTCTCTTTCTTTTTGTCTTCTTTTATATTAATCTAATAATATTATGCTGCGTCAATTAAAAGTTTTTATCACGTTAATTGAAAAGTCATGACAATTATTTTAACTGACATGTCATAATATTATTAGGAGGACACAAATAGAGACAAAATTAAGGGGGACATCGATATGAGCTCACTTGCTCCACGCAAAAGCCTCTGGAGAAAGATGAACCAGTTAGCTTGTTGCATTCTTCAGTACAATTAGCATCGATGCATTAAACGCAGAAAGTATAATTGTTTCAAGACTTAACGAAGAAAAACACCCGCTCAGCACAAACAAATTGAGTGCAATAAAATCTAATTGACCGATGAATAATTCTAATTGACCGAGACTAAAGCCTAAATTTTGAGGACATGAGGGACGCGACCTAAAAATCTAGCCACACACCAACATCCACCGTTAAAAACCAACTCAAATGTGCGGGAGACACAAACAAAATAAGAAGGTGGAGAAACTACTTTCATTAATATTGAATTGTTGCCTAAACAAATCAAGCATGTTTATGTGCATGTATTATTGAATTCTCTTTTTAACATGTGCATCAAGCATGTTTTAACATGTGCATCCTTGTTGCCAATTCGGGTGTAGGATTCTTTTAGGACAAGTAAGAGATTGTTAAGAATAATGTTCATAAAGCATGAGATGTAATAAAGACATTTATTATTTAATTAATAAAATAATTTATTCGTTATTTATGTGCATGTATTATTGAATTCTTTATAAATATCATTGAAAATTTCGTGGTTATTTATGTGACATTAAATATTATATATAAGTGTTATATATGAGAGAATAATATTTAAAGATAATAATCGAAATAAAGCTTCCTTCTCAAAAAAAAAAAAAAAAAAAAAAAAAAAAAAAAAAGGGGTGCAACTGCTATATACATATTTCTCTAGTGATTGGCAATTTTAATAAAGAAAATTGCATAATACGAAGCGACTATAAGAAACAGATCATGCCGAGTTAAATTCTCTTGAACGGGTATTAAGGATAATATATATATATATATATATATATATATATATTCAAATTGCAAACCAATTCGTGGAGCAAAATGCGTTTAGCTTAGTAAATAGTAGTTACTATATGTGTGTATATATATGTGTATATATATGTGTATATATATTTATAGGATCAAGTCTATCTAGTTTTTGATTGTTCTCGTGCTTTATTGAATATTGAGAGAGAGAGAGAGAGAGATGAACAATATATATTATATAAACTTTTTATTGGACATGTAATGTTTATTCATGAAAGAAAAGTAAACAAGCATGACAATGTTAGAAACATGAAATTTCATCATGTGATGATATCTTTGGGCCTCGGTGCCTGAGGAGGAGAAGGTGGGGGGTTGGCTTTACACGTACATATATCTCCTGTGGCATCGCCTTTGGTGCAGCCATAAGAAATTAGCCTTATTCCAAATATTATTCTGCAGTAATACCCACATGTATTTCCCGTACATGGTTTAAGTTTGGTTTTCTTGACAATGGGTGCACTCCCAACTCCTTCAGTCGATACAATTACCACAAACAACATTATTATTGCCCGCACGACAAACACCATTTTACTGCTCCGCTTGCAGCTTAGACGACGCCCTTGATCCATTGCAATATTATTATTATTATTATTATTATGCGAAATAGATAGTACTTTTGCGACTGTACTAATTAATTAAACTTGGTACTTGTAACGTTATATGTATACGTATATATAGTCATCAAAAGTGTTGAAAAACAACCGAGTAAATCTAAACAAATCAACTCTCCTTAGTATGTAGTTTAATTTTCTGCTCTCTCTTTGGAATTATCAAATCCTGCCTATATTTTCAATGCTGGGATGATTTTTAAGGGGCTACTCTCATTTAATTCCATTCCTTTTACGACATAGAAATTAACGAGGGTCAATCTAGATTTTACTCTCTTTTTCACTCCCTAGATTCTCCATTTGTCACCTGTATATCCATTTTTCATAACACAGGAAACATAAATGGCAAAATCAGATCTCCTTTTCATTATTTATTACAAGATGAGGATATATATATATATATATATATATATACTAAAAGTGTAATTTCTATTAGTATATCGAAATCTAAACAAATCAACTTTTTTTTTAGTATGTAATTTATTTTTTTATTTTTTTTTTGTTTTACATGTCAAATTCTACTTTTATTTCAATAATGTGATGATTTTCAAGGAGATACTGTTATTTAATTCCATTCCTTTTAGGACAGAGAAATGCTAGGTGCCGATCTAACTCTTATGTAATCTCTTTTTTACTTTCTAGATTCCCCATTCACTACTTGTATGCCCATTTTCTTTTTTATAACACAGGAAACAAAAATGAAACAATCAGATATCTTTTTCATCATTTTTGATAAGAAGAGGATATAATATATACGTGTAATTTAGATTTTAGAGTAGGTAGCTTATTTGATATCTTTCTGATCCTCTTTTTACGTACTTCTACCATTTCATTTTTTAAGTTTATTAAATTCCTTGCTCCCTTTAATTTGGAAATCACTATATAGTCACCATCCATTTTTTATAAATCTTTCTATTTACTATATAATTAGAATTTTCTAACATTTTTTTTACTAAAACAATTCTTAAAGCATTTGATCCCCAAGTTCTTACCTTTTCCCTAGTTTTTAATTTTTTTTTTTTTCATTTTACTGTAAACAAAATTTACCTCTGAGTTAATTAAATAATTCTTCTTTTTCTTTTTAAATTCATATAATTCAAATTTATTTTCTTATGAATAAATAAGTTAAATAACTAGAGACTTGCAAGTTGCAAGAGTAAAAGATATTTACAATTCGGATTAATTACATAAATACCCCTGAGTTATGTACCCAATTCAACATGCACCCAAACTTTAAAAGTGTTCATTTCATTACCAAGACAAAAAAAATTGTTTAAAACGTCCCCTTAATTACATAAGTTACATAAATGTCTCCCAATTATTGATCTTATGTCATCTTAGACCTTTATTTTTTTTTATAAAAAAACATAAAATCAACAAATTAAAGGGAAATTTGATACAATCATCAGTTCGAGAGGTATTCATGAAATTTCATTTAGTGCCACATCAACCTTCCATTAGTATTATAAACAGAAGTAGTGTTTTGAACGATTTTTTATAGTTAACTAAGGAGTAAAGTAAAAGCTCTTTAGAATTCAGGGATCATGTTGAACTATGATATATAATTCATAGATTAGTTATGAAATCAATTTGATATTCTGTAGCTTCACACTTTTCTTAATAGAACTTCTCTTGTGAGAAAGTACTTAATAAGAAAAATTAAAATAATCGTGCCCCCACTTAACATTTGAAATTAATGTAACTATATATATCCACATTCAATAAAAAAAATTCTCTCTAATTTTTTCATGGTACTCACACTAAAAAAAAAAAAAAAAAAAAAAAAAAAAAAAAAAAAAAAAAATTTTACTTATATGACATCGAACTTAAAGACAAATAAACAATATACAAAATAAACTTTTATTGTAGAGAGAGAGAGGGAAATTACAATATTTAAAATAAACTTTTATTGGATATGCTTATTCAAAGGAAAGTAAACAGTCTTAGAAACATATATATATTTCATGTAATATATTTCTCTGCGGAAGGAGGGGGGTTTGCTACGCAGGTACATATATCCCCTTTGGTGCAGCTATAAGAAATTAGCCTTATTCCAAATATTATTCTGCAGTAATAACTACATGTATTTTTAGTACATGGGACAATTTTGGTTTTCTGGACTTTGGGTGCACCATCGGTCGATACAACCAACAACAACATTAATATTAATGCTAACATAACAAACACCATTTTACTCCTTGGCTTGCAGCTTAGACGCCCACCGTGATCCATTCCAATATTATGCTGAATAGTTTGTGACTGTTAATTTGTTGTTTCTATTTTTGTACTTGTAGTGTTATATATGTATACATACATATATATATAGTTATCAAAAGTATTTTTTTTTTAAAAAAGATAGACCAGAAGAGTGAAATAATGAAAGTGAAATAATGGCAAAATCCGAGCCTCTTTCTCATTCATTACAAGAAGAAGATAGACCAAAAGAGTATTTTGGGGTAGGGAATTTATTGATACTCTTTTTTTTTTAATCTTTTTTGGAAAGTTAAATGATGGTTCATCCCTTTTAGTTTAAAACATTTTTTTTCCTATAAAAAAATATTTTTTTTTTCAAAAAAAAAAGATACCCAAATTTTTACTCACTTTTTCCCTTTCTAGATTCTCTATTTGCCACTTGTGTATCTATTTTTCCACAAAATGACAAAATCGAATCCTCTTTTTGACTTAATAAGAAGAAGTAATATAATTTGCTTTCTGTCAACTTTTGAAATATTTAATTATGTTTTTATTTTATCAAAAGTCTCCGTTTTCACTCGCACCGAAAAAAAAAAGGTGGTATAAATATGCACATATCAACTTTCTTTAATTAGGCGTCTATTTAATTTTCTTTTTTTGTTGTATAAAAAATCTATCCATATTTTAATATTGTGATGATTTTCAAGGATCTTCTGCGCTATTAAAATTCTATTCTTTTAAGAAGAGAAAGATCAAGTTATGACGTTGTCAATTAATTATATCTCACTCTTTTAATTTTTTGCTCTCTAGTTTTTTTTTTTTTTTTTCTTTTGCCACTTGTATCCACATTTTTTCACAACACACGATGACATGATCCGCCAGTGAGACGATGGGGATAAAGCTTGATGGTATGAGAGAAAACAAAACGGCAAAATCTGATCCTCTTTTTGTAATTTATTACAAGTGTAGTTGAACATATCAAATTTTTACAGGTACCTCTTTTTGATTCTCTTATATGGCTCTTCAAATTTTACTGTCGTTTTTCGTATTTCTATCATTGCTAACGTGCATGTTCTCGCTTTCTAACTAATATCGTTTCTCTGTCGTTTTCTAATGCGCTCGCGGCGATTCTGCGCAACGATGCATACTGAAGTACTTATTGCTTCAACTGTCACGGGAGTTTGATTATGAGTTATGATCCCATTCGTAAGTAAATGACACTCTCAACAACCAAAAAAAAAAAAAAAAAAAAAAAAAAAAAAAAAAAATTAAATGATACTCTTCTTCTTTTTTCTTTCCTTTTTTTTTATGCAAAAGGTATTAAAGAATTAATAGTAATACTTGCTACGGAAATTACAAAATTATATTAATAGTTTTAAAATACTAATTGCATGTCCATATATCAAGGAATTAGAGCCAAGTTATTTATTGTAATCACAAAGCTTTTCCTTACAAGTACTCAGATAACAGCCGATGATCGAGTTCATTTAAGAAAGCAGTTAATTACTATATATATATATATATATATTGAAGAATTATATGATAAGATTTCGTGTAATATTTCCAGTAGACTGCACCATAGCAGGTACAATGACTTACTTCTAAGGTATTCAAACTCTTCGCAAACAGCCCTAGAGAATATATGGCGTTTGATCTCGTTGCTAAAATTAGATTATTGCGTTGTAATTTTAGATCGACCTTTTGATTTAAATTTACACTCCTAAAAAGTAAAAATAAAAAAAAATTATGGCTCCTGTCTCTTATAAATGACTTCTCTCCTGTGGAAAAAAAAAAAAAAATATATATATATATATTACCGAAATGGAGATAAGGATTAGAAAAAAAAAAAAGCTCTCCGGCCCCTTCCATTGAAAACATAAGCTCACTGCTTTTTACAAAGTAAATTAACTAAAGGCTAAGATAATAAAGATGAAAAATTATACAAACAATAAGAAGTCTAGTACAACTAAAGCTGATTTAGTACGTATGTAGTTTTCCTTTTCATATGAAAAGTTTACCCGTATCAGAATATCCTTAGTTATGTCAAAAACCAAAGGCTGCGGTACGTGACAAGACAAATTAAGATGAAATTATTCTACAAAAAGGAAAAATAAATAAATTATCGAGAGAAGCCAGGAAATTAATAAACAAAATATAAAATCAACTTTTATTCAAATATATGTTTATTCAAAAGAAAGTGAGCAGTCTCAAAGAGTACATGAGGTAGTTTATGTAACATATATATTTATCTGTTGACATATCTGTTGACATAGGTTAATCGTTAGCGATTGCAGACACATATATATTCTCCGGGTCGCACACAATCTTGAGAAGCCCTATGCCATAGATTATTTTGCAGTACTTACCACATGTATCTTTATTACATGGAACCACTTTGCTTTTATGTACTTTGGCAGTTGTTTCAGTCACCATAACCAACAACAATATTGCTAACACAACAAACACCATTTTATTCCATTGCTCTTGTAGCTCATTAGATTTCTACGGCCAGCTTGATCCATTGCAAATATGTCCCCAATTGGTAGTTTTGACTACTATTTTAATTTGTTGCTTATGTTTTTATTCTACCTACTTGGTACTGCTTGCGGTTATACACACACACACACAAAGATAGTCATCAAAACCTAGAGAAACTCACGCCGTCCAAATGAAAGAATCCAAATGGAACTGGTAAATCTAAGCAAAGCAACTTTTTTCCAGTATGTATTTAAATTAATCTTCTTTTTATCTTCTTTGTTTTATCAAAAACCTCAAAACCAAGAGAATTCATACAAATGAAAGTATCCAAAAAGCAACTGATAAATGTAAGCAAATCAACTTTTTTAGTATGTATTAAATCTTCTTCTTTTCTCTTTTGTTTTATCAAAATCTACCTCAAAACCAAGAGAAGCTCACATAAATGAAAGTATCCAAAAAGCAACTGGTAAATCTAAGCAAATCAACTTTCTTTAGTATGCATTAAATTTTCTTTTTTTCTTTTTTTTAATCAAAATATACCTATATTTTAATATTGTGATGATTTTTAAGAGGGATTCGGTTATTAAATTCCATTCGCTTTTGGACAAAGAAATGCTAGTGTGTCAATCTAATTCTTGCTTTCTTTTATACCGATCTCTAGATTCTACTTTTGCCACTTGTATTCCCATATTTTCATATATATCACATGAAGCAAAAATATATGGCAAAGTCAGATCATATTTTTGTCGTTTATTACACGAAGAGGATATACTAAAAGAGCAATGTCATTTTTTACAAGGGTAAGTTAACTATCTCATCCTCATTTAATTTTTTTGATAATTCATACTAAATAAGAGTATACTGTCGTTCTTTGAATTCCAATCATGTCTAACGTGCTTTGTGTATCTCATTCCAATCATGTCATTATTTCACCGCCAGATTTGCTAAGTGCCCGTGTAAAAAGGCCTATAACTTCCTTCTTGCTGATGGACGAGCTTGTGGAAGTTGAAGATGAAACAGACCATGTATCACCTTCTGTGAAGAAAGAAGTAAACAAACTTAAACATCCACTTCAAGTGCGATTGTGGAAAAGCATACCATTTTATTCGTTACTATTCATAGCAGTTATTTCATTTGTTTGTGGCTGTAAAAGTGCATTGTTGCTTGACATTTTTTTTTTCGTAAATGAACAATAATGAAGTGATGGTTTTCAACACAGCTTAATTGTCCCACAACTCTGTACTTGTTTGTGTCTATTTTACTAAAATCTTAATAATATATGTTACAATAGAATACAGACTATTGATTATACTCTTATACCGTTTGTTTGTTTTTCTAATAAAAATGTAAAGACTGTACGCTGTTAGTTTGCTAGAAATCGCTGCCCTTTTTTTTTTTTTTTTGGGTTATTTCTCATGACTGGTGATTAAATAAAGGATGTCTTTAAAATTCCTCGACAAGACTAATAGTGAAGTTAAAAAGATAATTCTGTCCTCTCTTGTCAAGAGTTCATATCAAAGTCCTGATCACCATGTTTAAACTTGTGATCACATTATTGTACTTTTTGTAGCTGTCCTTACGCATACTAAATCAGTAGTATCTGTCTGAATTTTCAAAACACAAATCACATACAACCTAATATTGGCCACAAAAACCATCATAGCGATTTTCAAGTTAAGCTATCTCGAACTCATCCAAACAATGATCAGACACATTAGGCAAGAGCCAAAGCTAAAAAACTTAAATAACGTTTAGTTCATAGATTTAGAATCATGATTCATAATTTTGATTTTTAAAATTTAAATTTTTTGTGAGATGAAAACGCTGTAGAGAACCATGAACTATGATTCAAAACCAGAGATTGATACATGAAACAAACATCCCTTTAAAGAGTGGCTATCATCCTAGTTCACTTTTCCCTCCAATATAAGCTATGGTTTCTAAATTCCCGTAACCATTTATACGAGATGGATGAAAGGCAGCAGGGCACACTGGCTTGACTTCTGGCAGCTCTTAATGCAAAAGGCAAAGAGACCAGATGCTACCTCAAGTCATGAGTAGTAAACCATCCAGACGACTTTTGAAAGCATACAAATAACGAGAAGTTGTTTACAACAAAAAATCACACACCTCTCAATCTCATCGAGTCTTCTCTCATTTTTATGATTAACCTGAAGATCGGTGTCCCCTTTATATATGAGAAACTTGAGAAACCAGAGCGAAAGATATTCCCGCTCCTCACTAGAAGCGTGTTGCTCCCAAGTCACAATTATTGTGTCAACTGTTAAGAAAACTCATAAACTCTTTTCTATCAACATTTTCTCGTCTTTTCTTCTTTCCTTTTGCTTCTACCACTTCAGAACTTTGGACGACTTAAAAAAGCTCACTAGTTCTAGTCTTTGTATTGCTGGCGAACCACAAACATCAAGCACTGGCTGACCCCTCTACTTCTAACTCCAATTTCATACTGAGAAATGAGTAACTTTAACTCCAGGGGAATTGAATATTTTTATAGTAAAAGATTAACACTAATTTATAACAGAAGAAAAGATGGCAGAATTATTGTTCCCTATCCCATAAACTTTTCATTCTCCCTAGACAAGGTAACTAATGAACTACCAGAATCGAAATGGTTGTTCACCAAACCTGATTTGGGAAGTAACAGCTTCATTGCTCTACACCAACATCACCCCACCTCACATTGTATCTTGCTGCAAGATAATGGGCCCCAACAGGACCTCTACTACCGTACGGATAGTACTCGGGAATTATCTTCTTCTCTTCAAGCTCTTTCAACAAAGGTGTGAACAGTGCCCAAGCAGCATCCAATTCATCACTTCGGATAAACAACCTTCTTTCCCCTTCAATAGCATCCAGCAATAGCCTCTCGTAAGCGTCCGGAATCTCTTTTGAGTATCTATAAAGAACCAAAGAATTTTGATTAAATGAAATGGATCCATTCAAGGGATAGGGCAAAAATGAATCAACTACTCAGATGAAAGTAAATTGCTCATTGTTAACCTATTGACGAGCTGAGTTTGTCAAATGAACAACAGACAACCCAAAGCAATGGACTGTTATAACTCAAAAAGGCGAAAAAAAAGGTGCAACCATTGTTGAACACTTTATTTGATTATTGCCTCATTTGGTTAACAATAATGTCAAAAGGTGGGAACTGGAATTTTCAAAAACAAGTTTGAATTTACCTCGCTGCATAAAGAAGATTTAGGTTACTGCGGTCCAATCTCATTCCCAGACCAGGGACCTTGTTATTGATCTTCAGATAAATAGCTTCGTCAGGTTGTACACGAATAACAAGCTCATTTGTAGCTCGATCAAAATCTGTCCCGAAATTTCGGTTGTATAAGTTGCCAGGAACACGCCTAAACTGTACTCTTATCTCAGCCCTAGAAAACAAAATTATGTACAGCAGTTGAAATATCAGTGGAAAATTCAAACTGAGATGAAATAAAAGAATAAGAGATCTATTCCTCGACAGACGGACCATTTATTATGTAATGCTTTTCCGGCCTTCATTAGAAAAGGCACTCCATCCCATCTTGCATTATCTATAAAGAGGGCAGCTGCCGCAAATGTTGGAGTTAAGCTGTCCTTGGGTACAGTCTTGTCATCTGTGTAGGCTGGGTAAGTGACACCACCTTTTGTGTGACTTTTATATTGCCCCACAACCACATTTTCAAGTTGCAACGGCCTCATTGAACGTAGAACTTTCACCTGGCACCAAGCAACTTAATGGTTCAGAAATCAATGAGAAGAGAATAATAAGATATAATAAAAGAACAAGAGTGCGACAATTTTAAAATTATTCAGGATATATATGGAGAAACCTTCTCATTTCTGATATCTTCTGCATCCAAACTAACAGGGGTTTCCATTGCAAAGAGGGCTAGTATCTGCAGCAGGTGATTCTGCATTATGTCTCTTATTATACCATAATTGTTGAAGTACCTAGATACAACCAGGAAGACAATATCACTTGTAAGCTCTTAGAGAAGATTAAAATTTGAATTCATGTCTACTTGGGAAAGTGAAAGTACCCTCCACGACCCTCGGTGCCAAAATCTTCAGAGAATATCAATTGGACATTTCTTATGTACTGCCTTGACCATAGAGGTTCAAAAATAAGGTTAGAGAAACGGAGAACAGATAGGTTTTCCACTAGCTCCTTTCCCAAGTAGTGGTCTATTCTGAATATTTGTTCCTCTTCTAGGTATTGCTTAAGGGCTTTTGTCAAAGCAGCAGAGGATTCTGAATCTCGACCAAAGGGCTTCTCCACAATGACCCTGGTCCAGCCATTACCAGAGGAAGCTGACATGCTTGCACATCTTACAGCATCTATGAATATGTTTGGAGGGATCGACAGATAGAAGAGGCGATTAGAAACCCGACCGGCCTACAAGCAAATTATTGCTGTCAAACTAAATGGATGAAATCCAAAATGAGAGTTAAGAAAAATAATTAAAAAAGACTAACTATACCCTACATGAAGCATTGCAGTGTTTTTCCATGTCTCTTCAAGAAAAATCTACCCTCTCATTTGTAAAAAACTCCCACTAATCACATATATCATTTTCCATTTAATTAACGATTTAGCCAAACAAAAGATTACCTCATGTTCCTTTAGTTTCTTGTCTAGATCTTCAAAGTTTTGCTGTGAATCATACTGACCAGAATGGTAGAAACATCTTTTAAGAAACTGGTCCATCTTTTCGCCACAATTTTCCCTGATATTAGAAAATCAATGTGTCACGCCCAAATTAACTTAAATAGTTCATAAGCAACAACACAAAATGAGATGCATTATGAGGACCAAAGAGCTGAAAATTTCACCTTTTATCAATTCTGCAAGTGAGGGTCTTACTAACCATGTTTCTAAGTTCTGCATCAGTCATCTTACTTCGCGCGTAGCCATACACAGTAAAATGCTGCCATAAAATACAAAATCGCGAATTATATAATGACTTAGACTTGACATACATCATACATGAACTCAACAGATTCCACATATCCAACTCAAATGAGGAATAAACTAGAACTAGTATCACCACTAGTGATCTATCACCATCAGCAAAGACAAAATTGTCACGTTTCGAAATGTAAGAAAACCATGTCCGACTCCATCGCGATTTTGATGCAATGCCAAATGCCACATCACCAACTAGTGGTGATAAATAACTCCTTTCAAAACCAATGGTGATAAATAGCATTTTTCGAACAAAAAAAAAGGGGGGGGGAGGGAAAAAAAAGAGAGAGAGAAGACAAACCTTGGGGAGCCAATCCTCGTAATAAAGTGCAAAAAGTGCAGGAAAAATCTTCTTTTTGGCAAGGTCCCCAGAGGCCCCAACAACTGTAATGCTGACCGTTGATTCATTTCCATTGTCATCATCAATGCCAGCTGCCTCTTTAGATTCCTCCGAGGATGTGACCGAAAGAATCCCTTCTTTCAATTTGTTGAAAGGAGTGTCATTCCCAACTACCGTCACCGTTGTTGCCACTGCACCCCAAATAGGCTATCCAGATAAGACTACGAAAATCTCAATGATACAAAACTGACCCATGTTTTTTCACTTGTTTACTTCCCAAAAAAAATAGATAAAAAATAAAACCAACATTGATACCAACTTTGTATCAATTTTTCCAACAAACCGAAAAACACAATCATTTCCTCTTCTTCCAGGAAAAATACAAGTAAGACTTTGAAAATAGAAGAAAATCTCAGTGTTGTTAGCTTGGATAAACATTGTCTGAAATTTTGTATCGATTTTTCTAGCAAAAAAAAAGAACACAATCTTTGCCCCTTTTTTTCTAGAAAAGATATAATTTTTTTCGTTACAATCAATGAATAAAAAAGTCGTCTTTCAATTATAAAGAGCTTCATTAACACATGCACCAATCATTAATTTTCAATTTATATTTTCCAATTGCGATTAAAAAAAAATGGACATAAGACAAACCATCCTGCTGCATTCGGACGACATTGCGATGCGAAACCGGTTGCGATTGCAGAGAAACCTTGGCCGGAAGAAAACGTTTCGTCGCCGGAGACGAAACGGCAATGCGTTGAAGCGAAGTCAGCGATGACGACGACGACGAAGAAGAAGAAGGCAAAGAAGAATAAATACGGCAAGACTGCGCGGAAGAGAGAGCCGCCATAACTTGTGGTTTGTTGGTTTCAGAGATTTGGGGGGTTTTGTTTTAAGGGAAAAGAGAAGAGTCGATTATTACAAGTGGTGAAGAAGAGGTCAGTTTTTAAATGGCGAACTTCGGAAACATCGAAGGGGTGTTTAGAAATACAACAAATACCGGTGAAAAGGCCCTTTGAGATCTCCGAAAGGATGTTTTTTGTTTTTGTAAGCCAACGCAACAATACCTTCTCTCTTCTTCCCCTCGGCATGAATGAAAACACAAGACACTTTTGCTTCCTTTTTCAATGGGTTGATTTAGATTTATTTATTTATTTATTTATTTATTTATTTATTATTATAGAAATATAATTTTGACTGGAATTATTTCATGATGACTGGCTGGTGGGGGAGACCGCATACCTAACTCTTCTGCTTGGGCTAACTCATTGTATGGCCCATGTTCTTCATGTTCTAGGCCCAATACTTACCATTCTTAAATGTAGAGACGACGAGAGAGGAAGTGAAACGACAAAAATTAGAAAACGGCTAAACCTCAAAGAACGACGTGAAAATTTAAAAGTGCGTCAATCATCAACGCACATTATTTGTTGTCTTCAATTGGTAAGTCGGAAAGCATGCGACAATAATTTCAAAACGACTTATAGCAAACAGAGACCTTTGATCTAATTAATCTAATAAATTATTGTTTATGAATAACAAATAATTCTGGTTACAATGTAAACGGATTCCTCTTTTAAGTCAAAATACGTGTACATATGTGTGAAGTTGTAATATTCTGTTAGGTGATTAGTTTTCTAATTTAAAACCGTGTAACAATTTTTTGTCTCTGTCCTATATAAAAGGCAGAGTTGTATACTTATTCTAATTAATTAAAGAGAATCGATTACACATTCTCCAAATAACCCGTAATATGGTATCAGAGCGATTTTTTGCTACCTAGTTTCTTTGTCGGAGATTTTCGCCGGATCTTTTCAGATTTCTTCGATGTTCTTCATCAGGTTTTGTTCCTAATTTTGTTATTCTTTCTATGTCGGCTTGATCAGTCCTCATGAATTCTTCAGCGACTGCTTCGGATCTCTCGTCCAATGGCCGATCCGCCATTGACGATCCTTCAAGTCCGTATTTTCTCCATCACTCCGATAGTCCGGGACTGTCGCTTGTTTCTCAGCTTTTAACTGGAGACAATTACACTTCTTGGAGCCGAGCTATGTTAATCGCTTTGTCTGTGAAAAATAAACTAGGGTTTATTGATGGATCCATCGATAAACCAGATGGCTCCAATTTATCTTTGCTTGATTCTTGGATCAGGAATAATAATGTTGTTATTTCTTGGATTCTCAATTCTGTTGGCAAAGAAATTTCAGCGAGCATTATTTTTTCTGAATCCGCCGCTGAGATTTGGGCAGATCTACGGGACAAGTTTCAACAGAGTAATGGTCCACGCATTTTTCAACTAAGGTGAGAATTGATCAACTTGTCTCAAGATCAACAATCTGTTAGTGTCTACTTCACGAAGTTGAAAGCTTTGTGGGAAGAATTGAGTAATTACAGACCCATATGTACGTGTGGGAAGTGTAGTTGTGGTGGTGTTACGGGGCTCCTTGCTTACCATCAAATGGAGTACATAATGACTTTTCTTATGGACTCAATGATACTTTCTCTCAAGTTAGAGGTCAGTTACTCCTTATGGATCCTCTTCCTCCGATTAACAAAGTGTTCTCTTTCATTTCTCAGGAGGAACGTCAAAGGACAGTTAGTTCTCAGGGTTCCATTGGTATGTCGACCAATACCATGGCCTTTGTGGCGAAGAATGATGATTCCTCTAAATCAAGGGCTGGTTTCAGTTCTAGTTCTGGGAACAAAACCGGCCTGCTTCAAAAAAGGATCGTCCTTTCTGCACACACTGCAACTATCATGGCCATACAATTGAGAGGTGTTACAAAATTCATGGCTGTCCCCCTGGTTTTAGACAACGCTAGAGGTCATTTTCCAATCAAGGAGTTGCAGTTAATCAAGTTGCTGCTCAAGAGAATATTGGAACTTCAGCTGCCGGTAATAATGACAATGCTGGTACTTTCTTTCAGAACTTGTCTTCTAATCAGTATCAACAGTTAATGGCGTTATTGTCCAGTCATCTGTCCCCTGTTTCCCTCAATGCTTCCTCCGAGGTTCCCTCTTCCTCGTGTGTAACAGGTATTTGTCTATATGTTTCACTGACTAAAGATTTGTCTTCTAGTCGGTTATGGGTTGTTGATTCTGGAGCATCTAGACATATGTGTTCTAATGCTAATGATTTTGTGTCATTGAAATCAATTCCCAGTTCTTTGGTGACTTTACCTAATAGAACTTCGATCCCTGTTCACCTTGGTGGTGATGTTCAATTAAGTTCAGATTTGGTACTTCGGGATGTTCTATATGTTCCACAATTTGATTTCAATTTACTCTCTGCCAGTGCTCTCACTTGTGTCTCCCAAGTATAGCTTAATTTCTTTCCTGACTGCTTTATCATTCAGGAAACAGCCAGCAAACGGATGATTGGTAGGGGTAAAGTACATGAGGGCTTATACCTGCTTGATGCTAATGCCAAGGCTGCTGTATCTTTTCCTACTATGTCTATAGAACATGTCAATAAAGTGTCCGTACAGACTTGGCATAATAGACTTGGTCATTTGTCAAATAAATGTTTAGATTCTTTGAAAGATCAATTGTTGATCCCTGATTCTCATTCCTTTGTTCATTCCCCGTGTTACATTTGTCCGTTGGCTAAACAAAGGAAACTTTCTTTTGTTTCTCACAATAATATGTCTCCTTCTCCTTTTGATCTTGTCCATTGTGACATTTGGGGACCTTATGATCTCTCTTCATATTCTGGACAACGATATTTTCTTACACTTGTTGATGATTGCACTAGATTTACTTGGATTTTTCTGCTTAAGCATAAATCTGATGTTTCTGTTGCTATTCCAAAGTTCGTTAATCTCATTGTTACTTAATTTGACAAGAAGATCAAAGAATTTCGATCAGATAATGCTAAAGAGTTAGCATTCACTGAGTTTTTTAATAGTCAAGGCGTTCTCCACCAATTTTCTTGTGTGGAAAGGCCACAACAAAATTCTGTGGTGGAAAGAAAACATCAACACTTGTTGAATGTAGCTCGGGCTTTATACTTTCAATCACGTCTTCCTCTCTCTTTTTGGACTGATTGCATCCTCACAGCTGTTTTTCTCATCAATAGAACTACGTCTCATGTTCTTGGGAATAAAACCCCTTATGAGTTGCTTTATCACAGGAAGATTGATTATTCTCTCTTTCGAGTGTTTGGTTGTTTGGCCTTTGCTTCCACATTGTCTGCCAAACGCACCAAATTTCAGTCGCGAGCACGAGTATGTGTGTTTCTTGGTTATCCTGCTGGAATGAAAGCCTACAAACTTTATGATATACAAGCTAAACAAGTTTTTATCTCTCGAGATGTTATTTTTCATGAGAATATATTTCCTTTTCACTCGGTGCATACTCAGGGCGACTTGGTGGATCCTTTTCCTGATTTGGTCTTGCCCTACTTTCCCCTTGAGGTTCCCGAGGTCCGGTACTCACCTGGTTCAGCGGGTTCAGCACCTCCTGCCCCTAATTCTCAGGCTTCTCCATCTTCTAGTATGCTCACTGCTCCTCCTCAACGTTTCACTAGACTGGTTAAGCCACCATCCTATCTTCAAGATTTTCATTGCAACTTCATCCAACATGGTTCTGCCACAGACGAGCTTCCTCCTTCCCCTAAGGTTTTGTACCCTTTGACTCAATACTTGTCATATGATCATTTATCCTCTGCATACCAGCATTTTGTTTTTAATGTTTCTGCTCAATATGAACCTCAATTTTTTCATCAAGCGGTTAAGTTTCCTCAATGGCGTGAGGCCATGGACGCTGAACTAGATGCTATGGAATCCAATAATACTTGGCCTGTTGTTCCTTTACCCTCAGGAAAATATTCAATAAGCTGTCGGTGGATTTACAAAATTAAGTATAAGTCAGATGGTACATTGGATCGGCATAAGGCTCGTTTAGTAGCAAAAGGATACACACAACAAGAAGGAGTTGATTTTGTTGAGACCTTCTCTCCGGTGGCCAAGTTGGTTACTGTCAAGGTTTTATTAGCTCTTGCCGCAAGCCAGAAGTGGAATTTAGTCCAATTAGATGTTAACAACACGTTCCTTAACGGAGATTTTTTTGAGGAGGTCTATATGGATCTTCCTTTGGGCTATCACCGAAAGGGGGAGCCTGCTTCTTCGGCTATGAAGTTAGTTTGTAAACTTCATAAGTCCATTTATGGTCTTAAACAAGCCTCTCGTCAGTGGTATTCAAAATTTTCTCAAGTCCTTCTCCAGTTTAGTTTTACACAATCCAAAGCAGATTATTCATTGTTTACTAAGGGCTTTGGATCCTCTTTTGTTGCATTACTTGTGTATGTTGATGACATCATTCTTACAGGTCATTCTCTTACGGTCCTAGACTCTTTAAAGAAGTTTCTTCATAGGCAATTCAAGCTGAAGGACTCGGGGTCTTTAAAATATTTTATGGGGCTTGAAATTGCTAGGTCTTCTCATGGGATTGTTCTGTCTCAACGTCAATATACGCTACAACTTCTAGAGGACACTGGTTTTCTAGCTTGTAAACCAGCTCCAGTTCCAATGGATCCTCGGGTGCAATTGTCAGCCACTTCCGGTGATGTGTTGTCTGATGTTTCTCAATATCGTCGTCTTATTGGACGTTTGTTGTACCTTACTCTTTCAAGGCCGGACATTACCTTTGCTGTACATAAGTTGAGCCAGTTTCTTGCTCAGCCACGGTCATCTCATCTTCAAGCAGCCCATTATCTTCTTCGTTATCTCAAGTCTTCGCCTGGTCAGGGACTATTTTTCTCCTCGTCTTCTGCTTTACAGCTTAGGGCTTTTTCTGATGCCGACTAGGGGTCTTGTCTTGATTCCCGAAGGTCTGTTACAGGCTATTGTGTGTTCTTAGGTGATTCCTTGGTCTCTTGGAAAGCAAAACGGCAGACTACTGTTTCTTGGTCTTCTGCCGAAGCAGAATATCGTGCCATGGCTGCCACAACAAGTGAACTGGTGTGGTTGCAGCAATTGTTGAGGGATTTCGGTGTTGCTATTTCTTCTCCTGTGTTGCTTTTTTGTGACAATCAAGCTGCCATGCACATTGCTTCTAATCCCACCTTTCATGAACGAACCAAACACATCGAAATTAATTGTCATTTCGTTCGTGATAAGGTTACTTCTGGTATTCTTAATCTCATGCCGGTTCGATCTCATCTTTAGCTTGTTGATATTTTTACCAAGCCTTTACCGTCTGTTCCTTTACAGTCTCATCTCTCCAAGATGGCTGTGAAAAATATTCACTATCCATCTTGAGGGGGAGTTTTAAGTCAAAATACGTATACATATGTGTGAAGTTGTAATATTCTGTTAGGTGATTAGTTTTCTAGTTTAAAACCGTGTAACAACTTTTGGTCTCTGTCCTATATAAAAGGCAGAATTGTGTACTTATTCTAATTAATTGAAGAGAATCGATTACACATTCTCCAAATAACCCGTAATATCCTCTGCTATAGCTGAATGATCCCAACACTCGAGTAAGGCACAAATAAGAATTAGAATCCATAATCATCACTTCGCAAGAATATGAAAGAAAGGAAGGGCATTTAAAAGCGAAAAAAAAAAGAAAAAAGAAGAAGCCAAAGAAGTCCTCATTATTAAGATACTTCAGAAGCATTTTGTGGGAATAAAATTTGTACATATTTGAAGAGCAGTTGATAAAACAAACCTGCAAAATTTCTTAGGATTCTAACTTTGTTGAGCTCAGGCGGAGAGCTAAGCTGGACATCTCAATGACATAAAGAAAACAATTGTTTTAAAGAAATAAATAAATAAATAAAGGATTAACTCAAAGAATTTTTAGCACAAGAAGAAGAAAGTAACTGAAATATCTCGACTGAAAATTTGTGGTTGTGTAAGCAAAAGCCACACAACCATCAGAGCATGCTGATTTCATCTTCGGAAAGTACTGAGTGCCGCACTCACGGATCAAGCATCTTTCAACACGGCCTCATTCGTTTCGCTGATTCGAGTTTAGAATTCGAGTTGAGATGTGATTTTATGTGAGAGCTTTTTACTGTAGTAAAAAAGTTAGATGTGACTGTTTGTGAGAGCTTTTTACTGTAGCAAAACTCGAATTCTAAACTCGAATCAGCGAAACGAACGAGACCTTAATTTGCACGCTTTGGTACTTGATAATATTGTTCCAAATTTGTAGCTTATTCTGAAGATGAATTGCAAACTGTCCTGCATTGGGTTTGCAGATGTATCTTAAGAACTCTAGTCAATTGCTCAGGTTGCTCATTTACTATAGTTTTAGCAAGTTAGTGAAATGTGTCTGCGAGAATTTTGTTTTGGGAACATTGGACGAGCTAATAAAATATTCTGCACCAAAAAAAGTCCACCCAACCTTGGTTCTCCCTTTGGTTTTCCCTCAGATTATGAGATCAAATGGTTTTCAATTGTTGCACCTCTCGTGGTCGCGGTCTGCTGAAGCGTGTAGCAAGCTGCAGCCAAAAGAAGTTTCCTGGCACAAATCAGTGCGTTATACATGCCAGAAGTATAGATTACGTACACATAGTAGCATATTTCTAGGTCCATTTTTTTCGAAACGTTTTCGTAACACAACCGATAATAGGACACATGTTCAAAGAAAAATACAAATAAATTAAAACTCACCACTTGCACAAATCACTAAAAAGAATGAAACTGCATCTTTGAACTCGCCTTACTACCAAGCAAAAGAAGAATTTAAAAACAATCCATAATTTTTAGGACTTTAATTAACACTATTATGTGAGATTGAAATGAATCCACGGCCAAAATGTTAAAGTCAATTTTCATCAACGAACATGTCACGGGCCAAAGAATGAAACTAAAACAAAATGAATTAACAAAGGCGAGGTTGAAGAGTAAATACCTGAAAAAAAAAAAAAAATACTTGTTTGGTGTGATGACTATGGATAACTCATGAGATAACGTGACAATTGATTAGGACACAGAAGATGCGATCGATTTTGCTCCAATACTCCCTGTTGCACTTTTTCTCAAGCAAAGGACATTCATCGATACTCAAATATTCAAGAGAGGTTGGAAGGCCTTCTTCTGGGAGTATCTGCAACTCAGGGCAGAAGGAGGTTTCTAGACTTTTCAAGGAAGTGAGTTGTTGAAGCCCATTTTTGTCCAGAGCTTTAAGGCTTGAAAATGCCTCGATTGAAAGATCGGTAATAGTGGAAGGCAATAGCCCCTCTTCTGGGAAGGACTCCACAACTTCATTTTCTTCAAATATTGTAGACTGTGTAAGATTGGGGAGTCTTTGCAAATTCCAGTTCGACCGAGTCGCAATGAGTTTATGACAACACGCGATGACAAGAGTAGACAAACTACAGGGAAACGACTCGATCTCCGGACAATGTTCTATTCTCAGAACTTCTAAAGATGGGAGGAGGTTATGCATTTTCTCAGGCAATGACTTCAATTTCTTACATCCGACAAAGGAAATGTGAGTCAGATTGGGGGCACGCAATCCTCCTTTAGGAAAAGATACAAAACATGGGCACTTTGATATAGTCACAGATGATAAAAATTTCAGGTCCTGGCATAGCTCATCAGACATTGAGAGGGATTCTAGACTTTCGGGTCCACAAATAAAAAGACGTTTGAGATGGGGAAAGGAATCCAAGTGGAGGGTTGTAAAGGAATCACAACTTGAATATATGGAAAGTAATTGAAGCGACTCGTGAAGGTGATACAATGGAAATTCAAATTTCTTGCATGAAGATATTTCTAGCTTTTTAATGATGAAAATGGCTTGACAACAGAACTATCCCCATAAAACTCCGGTCCCATAGTCACTACTGCATCAAATCCTGAAATGTAGAGAGTTTTAAGGGAGGGTAGTTGACAAAGTGGTGGTAATGACGAGCAAAATTTGCATCGAGAAAGCTCTAGAAAGACTATTTTTACCAATGAATCTCCTCTAGACCAATTTGGAAATCGTTCTCTTGAATATCGACAAATCTTGAGCTTCTTTAAGGTTCTATTGGGTAATAGCATGTCAAGTACATCCCTTGCGTGTGTTGAATAATCATTGATACCATCAGTCCATTCCAACTTTAGTGACTCAATATGCTTCTTGTTAATCAATTTAGCCTGGTCCCATGCATCCTTAGTATCTGCAACATTCTCTAATTTCATGATATGAAGTTCGCCCCGAAGATACGAAAGTTCCCTCAGTTCTCCTATCTTGGCCCCACTCTCTTTTCCCACCATGAATGTTGTCAATACTCGCAGGCTTTTCAATTTACTTATTTGTCTTGGCGTCTCTGCTAGTCTTATGCAGTAAGCTAAGTTAAGATATCTCAAGTTTATGAGACTATGCATATACTTAGGCAGCTTTTCGAGACTCCAACATGAATTTAAGTTCAGTGTTTGTAAATTGTACAACTTGCTTATCGACTCCGGCAATATTCTGATGCGAGTGTGCGAGAGGTCTAGAAAGCGAAGATGTTTTAGTACATCACCAATTGAACTAGGCAACTGCTCAACATTTGAATATCCAGACAGAGAAAGGACTCTCAAACACCTCAACTCCAACAACAAGTCATGTACTACTTTATCAGATGTTTTAGAAGAACATGCAGAATTAATTTGACGTACTGGTAGAAAGGTGCGCAAATTAGTTGCTTTTAAAACATAGTCAAATCTCTTATAAGGATCAGTGCCTCTTGTAACATAAGAAAGATGCCTCGTCTTCTTTATAGTTTGACTTGAGCTGCCATCTACTAGCTGTAAAGAGTATTCTTTGGCTACAAACTTGGCCAAATCATGCATAAGATCATGCATCACAAATTTGGTAGCTCTTTCTTCATTGCTTATTCCAAATATAGAAATTAGATCCACCGGTACTCGATCGCTGAAAAAACGACCTAGATACCAAATCATTGAAATACTCTTCACCCCACTCTTCTCTTTTCTTGTCTCTGCTTGAATTGGGTAAAAGGTTTTCTGCCATCCATAATAAGAGCATCTGCTCCTCTTCGTATTCAAATTTTTTAGGGAACAATGAACAATAAGCAAAGCACCGCTTTAGGTGTGAAGGGAGATAATGGTAACTTAATCTCAAAGCTGGAAGAATATTGTTCTCCTCATCAGGTAACTTCCAAATTTCACTTTGTGATATTCTTAACCAATCATCAATATCCAACGTACATCCTGAAAGGGCTCCCAGTGTTTTCACAGCTAGAGGCAAGCCTTTGCATTTCTGGACGATTTCTCTGCCGATTGCTTCCAAATCTGGATCTGCAGTAAAGCCTCCACTAATTCCAGTTGCATGCTCTTGAAACAGTTTCCAGCTAGCTTCATCCGTTAATTCTTTCAGACGGTGACTTTTCGCAGTGCCCATAATCGACGCAACTCTTTCACTTCGCGTTGTTACCAGTACCTTGCTTCCTTGAGAACCATATTTGAAAGGCTTGCTCATCACATTCAAATCAGCAGAATTATGACACCATACATCATCTAAAACAATGAAATATTTCTTTCCTTGTAACTGGTCTTTCAACTTAACTGGAAGCAAATTCAGGTCCATCACATCGTCCGAAAAGGATGAAGATACTGACTGAAGGAGTGTTTTTGTTACCCTACAAACATCGAATTCTTCAGAAACGCAAACCCATGCCTTGAGTTCAAAGTACTCATTGACTCTATCATCACTATAAACTAGTTGAGCAAGGGTAGTCTTTCCAAGCCCGCCCATTCCCACTATTGCAATCACGCATATCTTCCTGTTTCCACCTTCATCATCCGATAGCATTGAGTTGATTATGGTATCCTTGACCTCATCCCTACCATAAACTTCCGGTTCATCCAACAGAGATGTCGAAGGCAACCTCCGCGATGGTCTCTCCCAAACACCATCTTTCGGATCGAGAAAGTCCTTTTCATTCTTAATATCTTCCAACCTCTCAAGAATCTTCTTGATCTCTTCCACGATATCTTGATCATCCATTTTGCGTATGCATTTTTTTTCGAAGTACGAGATTTAGAAAAGAAGTTACATATCTTTTATTTGTTGCTTTTACGTACCTTGCTAGAGCTGGCTGTTGACTCCGCTTCCACCTTAAGCTGCATTGCATCAGTTTCAATCTCATCCAAGAGATCATCTGCGTCGTAGAAAGCCTCTTGAAGCATGTTCTCGGATTGCTTATTTGCTTGCGCTCCGCGTCCTCCAGCACCGCGGCAACAGAGTTCAGCACTAAGGTTAGTTTTCCAAGTAGCTTGTCGACATGATCGCCGCGCTTCGTCTTCCGACGTAAGTAGGCCAGAACGTCGGGGGAACCAAGCCTCTCAAAAAGAAATTGAAGGGAAGCAGAAAGAAGAGCTCCACCCACCAATTCTACAGCCATATCTCCTCTTAATGATCAGTTCAGTTTTCACAGCCCAAAGTTTCTTCTTCACAGAAAGCTAATGGCAATATGTTGTGCCAAGTAGCGCAAAGATAAGGCTAAAGAGCCAGCTAGCTAGTCATTATTGGTCAGCATCGCAACTTCCATATATTCATTTAGAATTTGTGCCTCTTTTTCTCCTTTCTTTGCTTTCTTACCGTGCCAAATTTTTGCACAAGAAAAATAGCTTTAGTACGCTGCAACAATACTCAGAGTGAAGAAATGCTAAACGCAGTAAAGATTATTTAGCAAAGAAAAAAAAACAGCAGAAATAATTTATGACAAAAGGCAAAAGCTAAACTGGTAGCCAATAACAGCTGGTTTATTCAAACAAAAAAAAATTACCGGAGATCATGTGATACGTGAGTTGTCTTTTTGGTAGTATATATATGGTCCCTCCACACATTCTTGTCACGTCATATTTATTAAATCCATTTTCAGAAACTATGATTTTTTTTTTTTCTAATTTTTCAAAGTCTATGCTACAGAGATCCACGAAACAAGAAAGATAACGTGATCTTGAATATTCTTTCCAATTTCCGGAAACTATCATATTTTTCTCGCTATGATTGTAGGTGTGATCTTATCCATTGTGTGTACATGTGTATGCAATACCTAGATTCTTAAATTGTTTGGCCAATAGTAACTCAAGCTGAATAAATTTGATCATATATATTACATGTTTATTATTGTTTTCCATAGCAATAATTTAGCTTGTTAATAGTTTAATTAGGATAAACGGAATTTACTCTCTCTTTTTTTCTCCTAGCACTATATTTGTTTTCCTGTTATCATGTTTACTTTCGTCAACCTTGTCCATAATATATGAAATCAAAATATTTAATGTGGACTCTTTGGATTTCTGTTCTTTTCTGCTGCGAGTTTTATGAGATAAGTTGCTACCTGCTGGTTGTTTTGTTTATTCAATCTAACACGGCCGAGAAAAACGACAACAGCATAAAATAGTAAAAACGACAAAAAAAAACGAGGACAAGAATAAAACATGTAATGGGAAAAAGACGACAATTAAAAAAAAAAATTTGATTAAACGACTTCTTAAAAAGTCAATAAATGAAACCCATTCCAATTAAAAATAACACCTACGAGGAAACGACAACAATCCTAAATACGACATAACATATTATAAAAACAACGGAAATACAAGAATAACTTAAATAAAAAAAAAAATTGGTCAGAAAACGAAAACCTTTTAATAAGGCATCATTAAACTTTTTTTTTTTTAGTAGAAGGCACCATTAAACTTTAAGAACAAAAAGAACTTGTAAATGACACCCAACAACATGAGACGAATTTGAACGGGTTAGGGAGTTTAATTAGAGTTAGTATAATTTGTTAACTTTGAAATTGAAAAATTAAGATTTTTATAGCATAATAGGAAATTAATAGTCCAAACCCCAGATTTTGATTTCCGTAAAATATGATCAAAATTCAAATATAATAGTCCATAATTATAATTAATCAAAATACAAATGTAAATATGACATACACAAGAAAACGGCATCCGCTTGAAACAACTACAGTACAGATCCGCTTAAAAGCCAATTATAATTTAAAACGACAAAAAAATAGAAGACGACACGGCCGCTTGAAACAGCTCAAGTCAAAAACGACAACAAGATAAAAACCACATTAAACTACATATTACCTATTAAGCTCAGTTTCTTTAGATTTTCCAGTTATTTGTTGAAAATTTGATATCTATATTGTCGTAGTGACCTTTTGGTATTGACACAAGGGTATTACTCGCAGGTAAATTCTGATTAGATTACATTTACTTGCGTTGTTTCTATACAATATTATTTTTAAATTCATTTTCCCATCTGGCCTTTGGTTTCAGTTTGTATATAATACACACACACATATATCTATATATATATATATATATATACCAAGCAGTTAGAAGGAAGAAATTAGGAGTCTCAATTACTAATCAATTAAAAAAAAATCAATTCACGTTTAGTTTGCAAAAATCATGAAAGGTGGGGTTCTAATTAAGCGTTGGACGTCTAATTATGTTGTGTTGATTTTGGTCGGAATAATATTGATGTTCATCAGCATCACGGCCTCCGCAGCCGTTGGATCAGGTAATCATAATCAGCGCAATCACAAAGAGCGTTTTATTAAAATCAGTATGTATCCATGTAATTTAGGTGCATGTATTAAAGCATGCAAGGAAGTCCTTCGCCAAACTGTTCTGAAGGCTTATTGCATAGGAGATTCTGAGAGTCACTGCTCTTTTTTCTATTTCTAATATCAGTGGAATATATAGTACAATGCTTCTAGAATCAAATAATATATGCAACTAGCTTATAAGATATGGAGTATTTTTCAGAAAATTTCAAATTATATATGGACCCCTTTTCAGAAAATAATTAGATTGTCGGACTCTGAAACATCGGAGAAAAATCTTTGTGGTTATAGCTTTGGCTAGCTCTTTCTCAATTCTTTTATTCAAGGCTTGTAACATTCAGTTTTTTCTTTTTTTTTTTTTCTTTTTTTCCTTCCATACATTGTGCAATTGTTTCAGACTTCATATAGTAAATTTTGGCTTTTTTTTCGTTAGTTCGAATTACGACTCAAGTTTTCACTATAGTATTCTCTCTCATAAGAATTTAAATTTAACTTTTTTCTACTATAATATTTTTTCTCATATAAATTTACTTTTTAACTCAAATGTGTGAAATGAATAATTCAACGTCTTAGCAGGGTTTTGTTAATTCTTTCATACTGTGAGCCAAACTCCCGTGAAACAAGAAATGAGGAAACAATTTTTTTTAATGGGAAATGAAGAAATTTTTTTTTAAATATTACATAAACAATAGAAAGTTTTGTGATAATGACCAAAAAAAAGGCCGAGACAAATTAAATATATGCACTAAAAGGGGAAAAACAACTAAGAAAACTAGGAAAAAGGTAGGAATTAAGGAACAAAAATTTTCTTGTGAAAAAAAGTAAAGAAGGAAAAAAAAAAAAAGAAGGATGAGAGACCATCACGTGGCAACTATCTATCCCCACAGAAGTTTAGGAAATGAGTTTATGCCCCAAAAGTGCTTCAATGGCAGAATCCCGTAAAAATCAACTTCAAGTTTTTTTTTTCTTTTTTTTTTTTCGTTGAAAAAAATCAATTTCAAGTTGAGGAAATAAGTTACTGTCTTATAGGATTAACAATAAGGACTCAAATCCACTCTCTAATTTCGGTATCTTAATTAATATCTAATCAATCAAATCATATTACATCATATAAAAAATTTAAATTATTTTTTAACTTATTCTTTTGTGTTTATCATAAGATGGTGTGATATGATATAATTAATTAGACAACACTAAAAATTAGACAACAGATTTAGATCCAACAACAAAATCCTTTAAAAACCAAAAGACAAGTTTATAACTGAGATGGATCAGATTTTCATAGCAAAATGAACTACTTACAAAGTAAGCTCGATTTGTTTGGATATTTTCTCCTGTTTTTACAATACTTTCATCTTTGTCTTGACGTTAGCCTTTGGTTTTGATTAGTACTACATATATATGCCATGCAAACACCAAGTAGAAACAAAAAAAAAATCACAAACACGATTCATTTTTCCTTAGGCGAGAGAGAGGCGATTAGCTTATAATTTTGCAACGGACATAGGTGGATAAAGCAAGTATTATTGTTGTGTTTGTTTTGGTCGGATTAATGATGTTCTTCATGGCAGCATAAGCTTCCAGAGACATTTTAGAACTATTTTTGATTTACGTGTATTTTTTGTAAGAGAAAATACTGTAACGAACTATGAATCATGATTTAAATCAGAGAACGAATCCTCCAACCAAACGGGCTATGATTTATTCAATCCCAATGAATCTATGTACGGATTCCAAATGTATCAACCAATGCAAGGCTTACTTTCGCATGAATTTTCTGAAGGCCTATTGTCACACTGTGGATATTTGTTATTGCCATGGTTTACATTGAGATATCGCGTCATTGCCTTAATTATGTCTCCTAGCAATATTACATAAAACTTTATGATCTTGTTTTTAAAAATGTACACTTTTCTTTCAATAAAATATGTCGAAAAAAGTTCTATTCTATGATAGGGCTAGTAATTCGGGTAGTGACACGACGACACGACTCAAAATTCACACGAAATTAACGGGTTTGAGTTTACTATAAATGAGTTTGTGTTATAATTAGGTTGACACGATTAATAAATTAGTTGGGTTAGGGTTTACCTCCTAACACGAATTGACACGATTAACTATATGTGCCATCTGCAATCTAATAATATATGATATAACATGAAAGTTTATATGACATTAAATATAAATTATGTGAATTTTAATATTTGTAGGTAAAATTCATTTATTTTTCTTAAAGGAAAAAATAAATTAACTAATAAACATATTAAACCTGTCTTGACCGTGTTAAATAAGTCATTATTATATTAGTTACTTATTCAATATATTAATTTAAACGGCTTATACGGATTGACACGATTAATAAATTTGTCATTTTTGGGTTGACATTTTTGACATGTTTAATAAACATGTCATG